GTCCATCTTTTACCCTCTCTTTCTTGTGCCTTTCATGCTAATGTTTCCCAAGTCTCTGTCTCCAGCTCTCACTGCTCCCTGCTCCAGACCTCAATATCCAATGGCCTCTGGTCATTGCCACGTGGATTGACTCCTTGAGCTCAATATATTCAGAAAAAAATTTTCTCTGCTCAAAAGACCTTATTTTTATCCTACATTGCCAATCTCAGTTGGCCGTTATATAGCCGGGCTTCCAGGTGAAAGACTAGGAGGCTGCTTTTGACTTCTCTTTCTCCCTTGCTCCCCACTTCAAGCCTATCACCCAAGGCTATCCGTTTTGCTCTCTAAACATCCCTGTGCCGGCATCTCCTTCAGGTCCTCATTACTCTTTCCTAGAATGTTGCAACTTTTGCTAACTGCCCTTCCTCGTGCTGTGCAGTGCATCCTCCACCCTGTGTTACCAAAGGGATTTTTCTAAGACACAATCTGACTGTGTCATTTCAAAGACAAAGTCCTTCAGTGTTGTCCTGTGCCCTCAAGATGAGGGGGAATCTCTTTCATATCACTTACAGATCCTGCCATGTCAGCTTCGGTTCTCTCTGCTTCTAACCAACGCTACACCCCACGCATGTAGGTACCACGCCTTCCCGTGAACTTCTCAAATACACTATAGTATTTCACTGCCCAGTCTTTGCACACCCTGTTCCCTTTGCTGAGTGCATTTCTCCGTATCATTTGTCTAGTAAACTAATGCCTTAAAATCCACGTGGTTGTTATTTATGCACTAAAATCTTCCCTGACATCCTGCAGAAAGAGAAAGCAATAAAACCATGATTGGTGTGTCTTCTCCGCACTCACATTCATTTCCACATCAGCGCCTTTGCACCTAATGTTTCCTCTCCTGAAACGCTTTTCCCCAACTCTTCACATATTGGCTTTTCCTCTTCACTTAGGTCTCAGTTCAAATGTCGCTCTCAGTCGGGCCCGACTGCTCATTCTAACAGCGGTCCCGCCTCATGCTGGTGACTATCCTTATCACCCCTGGACTGGTGCTTGGAGGACCCACCTCTGAGCCCAAACCACAACCATAAGGACTCCACATCTGTTTCCATACTTCACGGCATTTTCCAATCTCTTCTTCCCACACGAGATCAACCAGATGTCCCAAAGAACTTTCATACTTGTGCCTACAAGGTGACCCAGGGAATCCATGCCTTGCCTTTGGGAGGGCAGTCTGGCCGCGGAAGATTGCTCCAGCTCCCTGGGACAATATTTCTGTCATTGGAACATGCAAAACTGGGTAGTCAGAAGCATGCTGCCAGGTTGATTTGTTTAGATAAACACATGTCCCTCATACCCTGGGGGTAGCACTGCTCCTTAGCACCCACACAGCCTGAAAAGACATTGTTTATTACTTTATTTGTTTATTTTCTGAGCACTTCCCTGCCATCAGTAGACTGTAAACTCTGCAAAGATGGTGTCCTTAGCTATCTTGTTCACCACTGGATGGTCAATGCCAAAATAGTTCCTGGAACAGAAGGTATTCAATGAATATCTATTGAGCAGATAAGTGTATTATTGTATAAGGTGGCATGTTTAATTACAGACCTCTCTGTTCCTCTAGGCCATAAGCACTCAAGACAGAGGATTCTGTCCTTCTCATCTGTGTCTTCCTCCTGGCACAGTGCTTGCCAGAGAAGAAGGCATGAAGTAGTTATCTTTAAATGCATAAATAAATGAACAGGCAGAGAAGGAACGTACATTATCTACATTAGAAGGTTTTACTCTTACCTTCATATTAAAATAAACTCGGGAGCTTTTAAAAACTGCAATGCCCAAAACCAATGGAACCAGAATCTCTGGGGTGCGTACCAGGCATGAGTGCATCTAAAGCTCTTTAGGCAATTCCAGCACACAACTACGGTTGAGAATAGCGTGACCAGCCACCCGGGTTTATTCAGGACTGAGGCATCTCCAGGATGCAGGAATTTCAGTGCTAAAACTGCCACGCTGTAGAGCAAACCAAGATGGTTGGTCACCTGGATTGAGAGCTGCTGATCCAAACTGTTGCCAGGGCCATTCTGAGTGATATGTTTTCAATTTCTGACAAGTCAAGACTCATTTGCTTCACGCCTTCACTTGACACTTACCTAATTACATTCTGGTCCGCGGCGCACCTTGCCCTCCTGACTGCTTCCTGCTATGTGTTCCTGTTCAAGTTCGTGCTGCTAGTATTAACTTGGGTGACCCACAAATGGCAAAGGGAATGATTAAAGCAAGTCAGCACCATTCAATAGACCAGCTAGAGAAGCGGAGGAACATCTACAGTGCTGCCTTCCAGATGCCATCTCAGTGAGCCATCACCTCTTTTCCTCTCCAAATTGATGGCAGTACATTTGGACACATTTCTATTTATCACTTGTGTACGAGAGCTGTCTGGAAAGTATCCAACCACGTAATATCAGAAATAGTGTTAACAAAGGCTAGATACTTTCTGGACAGCCCTCCTCTGCCAGTTACCCAGTATGAGTGTGCAGACCCTACCGTTATCTGAGTAGATAATCATTTTCTTAAAGGAAAATCCCTGTGAAAACTGAATTAGAATTCATCATTCCAAACACAGTCAATTTACTCCCAGGATGCAGTTTGTACCAAACCCATCAATATGCAGAAACCGGAATCAGAGATGCTCTTTAACCTGTGAAGGGAAGGTAGCAGCACAGCTCTCTCGGGCCCGTGATTCCTAGTGTGGCCCCAGATCAGCAGCAGCAGCAGCAGCAGCAGCCTGGCAGCTCATTGGAAATGCAGAACCCCACGCCCCACCCCAGAACTACGGAATCAGAGTGTCTGGAGTTAGGACCCAAGAATCTGTGTTTTAAAAATTTCCCTGTGTTGTACTTTTGCATCCTCACATCTGAGAAATGCTCGTCTAGCAAGCGCTTTGCTCAATCCTTAATGTCAGCATCTCAAAGCCCAGAGGGAAGAAGCAAAGGAAAGCCGGGGAGGAGGGACATCATGCACTGGCCCCTGAATGCACGTTGGCGACACCTGGAGTGCTTTAAAAACTATCAGCGCTGGGATCCCCAAACAAGCAATTGGTAAGGGGCGCCCCCCTGAGCAGTGCTCCCCAGTTGATTCTAACATGCCTCCAAGTTTAATAGTCACTGATAGAACTTAACCGCCAGGAACCCTGCCCCCACCTCACCACTTCTGGCCTCCACTGCTGAGGAAAGCATTTGCCCTCCCTGCTTCCTTCCCACACAGCAGCAGCAGTGACGGAATGAAGAGGGTGCTCCCTGCATCTCAGCGCGGCCGTGAAGAATGACATTCCCCTTTCCTTCCATTGGGAGCTATTTGACTTTTGTTCACTCCGCCCTCTCTGAATCTCAGTATCTTCATTTGTCCAGTGGAGACAGTAAGACCCAATACCTGGGATTATTTGGGACGTTACATATGACAACACTAGAAGGGCCCAGTAGTTGGCCTGGAAGATGCTGTATGCTAAGACACTCTGTGCCAGGGAAGAGCACTGTCCCTCTACCCTCCTCTCCTGCTGGGGGCTACCCAGCAGCATGACGCTGGGCAAAGGGCCTCCTCCTTGGTGCACAAAGGGTGTTGGTTATTGTGAGAAACACGTTCCCCTGGGAATTCACGGCTACGATCTCATTGCAGTCTCACAACATCTCAGCCTTGTAAATGGGGTCATCTTGTCCCCATTTTGCAGACAAGAAGGTGATGTCTTAGAGGAGTGGTTCTCAACCTTCCTAATGACACGATGTATTTTCATTGTTACAAAGGGATCATGACCCACAGGCTGAGAATCGCTGGCATAGAGGATTCCAGACTGATGCAATCTTGAAAGGGCAGCTCAGTTCCCCTGCCTGTACCCCATGTTCTTTCTACCTGCTGTGCCATCACCTCCTTCAGCTTCACACCCCACTTCCTGGCAGGCTGCACTTATGGACAGGACGCTTCCATCAGCCCAGCTCTTTTCCAGTAGATGATGATAGAAACATTCCATCTCTGTGCTATCCCTGTCCTGCAATGATAAAAGTGATTTCTCTCTGTGCTCTCCGATTCAGCAGCTGCCAGTCACATGACTGAGCACTTGAAATGGAGCTTGTATAACTAAGGAATTAAAGTTTTAATTTTATTTAATTTTAATTCATTTTAATGTAAATGCCCCCACATGAATTGGACAGATCTAGAGACAGCAGCTGGAGGATAATGGGAAACTGGGAAATCTTTCCAGTGGTTTCTATTCACACATCAAAGTAAACCTAAACCACTTCTCTGCCTTCTTCTTTAAAGCCCTTCTGGACTCATTTATTTTAGTACAGTGACAGGTTGGCCCACCAGTTGATGACTGTCCCCTACCTATGCAGAATATAATTTGAATGATGTCTCAACACCAGTGATTGACCAGCAGGAACAAAATGTGTCAGACAGCAGCGCTTCTCAAACTTTATCACCAGGGATCTATCTTGCTAAAATACCGAGTGTGGTTTAGCAGGTCCAGACGAGGGCGAGGGCCTGAGGTTTAACTAGCCAGGCTGTGGAGCAGTGATTCTCAAGAGGCCGATTTTGCTTCCCTTCATATTCGGGAGCATTTGGCAATGTCTGGAGATGTTTTTGATTGTCTTGGAATTGTCTGCATCAGTCTGGAGTCCAGGTAGGCTAGCATAATTACAGTGTACCTGTCGGCATGTATGAAATATCACATGCACCCATAAATAGTGCAATTATGGATGAAAAGAGCATGGAGTTTCAAAGACCTTTTAACAAAATTTACAACATCATAATAATAATTATTATCTGTGATGTACAGGAGGGCCCCAAGACAAAGAATGATCTTGCCCAAAATGTCAATAGCGCCAATTTTGAGAAACCCTACTCTCTAGCCGAGTCTGCTCTTCAAGTAAAGGGGATCGGTGGCAGAGTGACAGAGCAAGTTTTCTTGGTATCGGAACTGACCATTGTTTTCTCTCTTCCTTTCTGTTCTCCCACTTGTCTGCACACAGGAGCCAATGCCTCGGCCCCAGACCAACTGAGCTTAGCTTTAGCCTGGAACAGAGTCGACATCGCTCGCAGCCAGATCTTTATTTATGGGCAACAGTGGCCGGTAGAGTATATGTTGTCACCCTTGAAAAAGACCGCTTCTTTGGGCAAGGGTATTTGTTAAGAAGCTTTTCTTTAGGATAGAAACCATTCCTTTGCAGCACAGTCCCAGGACTGGGCTCCCTTTCTCATATTTAGGGAAACACTGCCACCTAGTGGAAATAATGACTGACCACAACTCCAAACATTCCAAACGCTTCCATCTCTATGAGTGGCCCAGGATGCAAATATTCAGCTGCAAATGATGCCATTTCTTTTAATACTCCTGGAGGGGAAAGGGGGAGAGGCAAAGTTGTATTAATTAAAATTAAATGGAATTATCAGTTTGTTTCTGATTGTCTTTGATGGGAGTGAAAGGAAGAGGTAGCAGCCCAAGCCCTGGCACCTCATGCTGGTTTATGGCTGGGTCACACCTCAGGTTGCAGAATTAGCAGGCTTCCCTCTGCAAGTGCCATCTGGCCCTGGTGGCTGAGCACAGGTCCTCCCTGTGTGAAAAGAACAACACAAGAGAACCAACACTTTATATAACTGTTCTTGGTTTCTTTCCCTCAACTGACTCTACCAAAAATAAAAACGGGGGAAATTGGCCTTTGGGTGGTATGTACATGCACCCACAGGGGGCAGCCCTGCAGCCTGAGATTTGGTTTCTGTGCCTGAAATAACACCACTCACAGGCAAATCTTTTTTTAACCCTTCCTTTCCTGCAGAGCTTCTGCCTGGGAGCGGGCACCTGTCTTCATTCAATGCTCATGGATTGCTAGCACAGAAACATTTGTCAGAGTCTAGACATTATGAAGTTTCTGTGAAAGGAATTAAATAAAAACCCTAGCCTGTGGCAATTCCAGAAAGCAGGCTCTTCTTTTTTTAGTTAAGTGACACCATCTTGTCCATGGTCTTGTCCACTTCTACACAGAGACCCAGCATCTATTTAAGTCCAGTGGTCTGTCTATTTGGGTCCCTCTTCTCGAGTCAGCCAGGAGGCTCTTTCTGAGCCTGAGGATGATGAAAATGAAGACAGAAAATGACCCACTTTAGACTTCACTGGTGTTGGCAGAAGTTTGGTCAGAGAATTGTGAAGGGGCAAAGGCCTACTAAACCCTTGCACTTTCTCACGACCCAGTGCAAGAAAGAGATTCGAGAAAGAAATCCCTTCTTTCGTTTTTATTTGCAAAGACAGGCCCCAAAATACAGGGCAGGCTGTGGCTATCCCAAAAGTGAACAGTCTTGCTAGCATATTGTTGGGTGCAATGAGGGCTTACCAGGTGTCAAGGTATCCATTGCTAAGCTTTTCAGGTGAGCACCAAAGAACTATATCCCGGGACCCTGGGGCGGACTAACTCATTGACTCGATTTACAGGTGGGGTCTCTGGAGCAAGCCATGTTGGATGCCTTAGTTCTGGACAGAGTGGATTTTGTGAAATTACTCATAGAGAATGGAGTAAGCATGCACCGTTTTCTCACCATCTCCAGACTAGAGGAATTGTACAATACGGTAGGGCCAAACTAAGGCACCTTTTTATTTTCTCTGTTTTTTTACTATTATTTTACCTTCTCCTCCCCCCACATGCCTGTGATTCTCTTCCCCACTCCCCTTAAAATGCATGGATCATTCTTCACAAATACTCCCTTAGACCTGTGTAGACAACAAACACCAAAATGCCACTTGTTTTAACTGCTCAGTTGTCAGCATCTAACGCAAAAAGTTATGTGATAACCTAAGGGTGTTGTTCTCATATTCTTACATAAAACCACAAAGTGCTGGAAATTAGAACACAGTTTATTCTGTAAGCCCAGAGAATGTTTGAGGCAATTAGCAGGGGAAGATTGATTTAACTCCAAGCATCAAAGAAGGGCAATTAAATATCCGGCACCATTTTGTTATCCTCAGAACTATGGAGTTCATTCTTTTTCCACAATAGTACAATAAAATGCAAAATATTTCTTGTTTGGCATTATTCAAAAATATAAATATTTTTAGTTTTATAATGATTTTCTAATTGACTTTCTAGGGATACCAACATGTAATCATAGGTAAGACCACTGCTTTATGAAGGTGCTGAGAGTGTTCAACAAATGTATTGGCTCTGAAAAGATAAAAAGTGTATTGACTCTGAGCTGGTATTGACTAAAGTCCAGTGAAGTTTGAAGAGCGGACGTTTCCCCCTGTTTAACAGATAAGGAAACTGAGGCTGTTTTATCCCACTGGTGCAACTATAACAAAACATTTGAGACTGAGTAAATTATAGACAATAGAAACTTACTTTTCACAGTTCTAGAGGCTAGAAAGTCTAAGATCAATGCTCCGGCAGGTTCAGCATCTAGCAAAGGCTGCTTTTTGCTTCCAAAATGGAATCTAGAGACAGGCCCAGTGGCTCACGCCTGTAATCCTGGCACTCTGGGAGGCTGGAGCTCAGGAGTTCCAGACAAGCCTGAACAAAAACAAAACCCCTCTCCACTAAAACTAGAAAAACTAGGTGGGTGTTGTGGCAGGTACCTATAGTCCCAACTACTCGGGATGCGGAGGCAGGAGGATCGATTGAGCCCAAGAGTTTGAGTTTGCTGCGAGCTGTGACATCACAGCACTCTACCTAGCATGACAAAGTGAGACTCTGTCTCAAAAAACAAAACAAAATGGAAGCTTGTTTTTGCATCTGCCAGAGGGGACAAATGCTGTGTCCTCACACAGCAGAAGTGACATTAAGGCAAAAAGGCTGAATATTGTATGAAGCCTCTTTCATAGTGGCCTTAATCCCACTCACAAGGGAAGAGCCCTCATTACCTTCTCGCCTCCTAAAGGCCCCACCTCTTGGTCCTATTGCATTGGAGATTAAGTTTCAACATGAATTTTGAAGGGAACACAGATGTTCAAATCACAGCAGAAGCCAAGGTGACCTGGTTTGTTCAAGGTCAAAAAACTAAGCAAGAACCCAATCAATACCAAACATAAGACTTTGTCTCAGAGGTTACTTATCCCCACCTTTGTCCCAGTGTCTTTACCCCACCATGCTGAGTACAAACGGACGGGGCTTGTTACCTGTCCCCAGACAGTGGTAGTGTGTGGATGGTGCTGTCCTGGCTCCGTCTCATTCCCACGCAGCAAGTAGGAAACAGGTCTGCAGAGCGGCTCCCGGTTTCTGTTTTCTCTGCACATTTTTCTTGGCTCCACATACTGAGACTTTCATGATAGGGTTTTATTTTTAAAAAATCAAATAAAAAAGAGAGAGTTGAATGGCATATCACTTAGAGAATCAAGGGAGTAGAATGATTTATTCCAAAAACGGAAAAGAAAGGTAAGAAGTAGGAAAGTTCTAGACTGAGAAAGGCCAGTAGATTTCCTTACTCCACTCACCTGGTGATGGTTATCTGGAATACTCTGTTGACAAGGATTACAAGACAGTGTGTGGCCTTAGGAATAATAATAGCTAACATTTATAAAGTGCTAAGCACTGTTTTAATAGATTTATAAATATTGTATCATTTAACTCTTACAACCACCCAATCAGATAAAGTGGTATGATTATTCTCATTTTAGAAAGGATGAAACTGAGTCACAGTTAAGTAACTTGCCCATATTCAGAGCCAGTCAACAGGAGAGTACGGTTGGGAGCCAGGCACTGGGGCTCCAAAGTCTGCATGTTCAATCATCACACAATACAGCAGCCCCTTGGTGGAAAAAGAGTTCTGATGAGTCTGTCCTTGAGAATGAGCAGGTGGATGGGGCAGTTTACAGGCTTGTCTCACTACCCAAGTATGTTCCAACTGTGCTTAGGGATTTGCTATTAAGGATTTCCTTAATAACATCATCAGATTTAGCAAATCAAAATACAAGTTATCTGGCTAAATTTGAATTTCATATAAATTCAAACTTCTCAGTATAAGTATGTCCCAAATATTACATGGCATATGCTTATGAAATTCAGACTTAATTAGGCATCTTATATTTCATCTAGCGTTCCTGTTCCTAAAAGACAATAGAATGGCAACATACTTCATTTTATTCTTCCCTCGAGCAAACGTGTATCTATTCTCCACCTCCCCCTTTTACCCAACAGCCGGTGGCTTTTTCTTTCAGTCAAGTTTCTGTGACCTGTCACCCAAATCCAGCCCATTGCTTATTTCTGCATGGCCTATAACCTAAAAATGTCCAGGCTGTTTTTTTCTTTTACATTTTGTAATGGTTGAAACAATCCAAAGAAGTATGATACTCGGGTCGGCACCCGTAGCTCAGTGGCTAGGGTGCCAGCCATATACACCGGAGCTGGCGGGTTCAAACCCAGCCCAGGCCGACTAAACAATGACCATTACAACCAAAAAATAGCCAGGCGTTGTGGTGGGCACCTATAGTCCCAGCTACTTGGGAGGCTGAGGCAAGAGAATCACTTGAGCCCAAGAGTTTGAGATTGCTGTGAGCTGTGATGCCACGGCACTCTACCCAGGGTGACATAGTAAGACTCTATCTCAAAAAAAAAAAAAAAAGTATGATATTCTATGACCTGCTAAAATTATATAGAATTTGACTTTCTGTGTCCATAAGTGAAGTTTTGTTGAATCATAGCCCTGCTCGTGTATTTGCATATCACCTATGGCCACTGTCACACTGAGCAGTTTTGATAAAGACTGCATGACCCACAAAGCCTAAAATATTTACCAGCTGGCCTTTTTGCCGAAGAGCTGGCCAGCCCCTTTTAGACAATTTCTCATTCATTATGGGCAATAAACAAGTCACAAAGGCAAAGCACCAAAGTGTGACTCCAACGCAGCCAATGGACCCCTTTGTTTCCTCCTGCTGCAAAATAGTCATGTTTGGGCCCAGCTGTCAACAGAACTGACAACTTTGCTTACAGAGTTTAAACCTAGAACCTCAAACACTGTCTTGAGAAAAACAATCCAAAAATCTGCCAGCGTGCGTGTTCAGAAAAGACAGGTACAACTGAGCAGCTAGAACAAGGCCCGTCCTGACGAACTGCCCCCTGCCAGCCAGACCCCTTCCTTCCAGATCCTTCTCACCTTGCCAGGTGGAGCACTGACTAGGAAAACCATTTGATTCTTCTCTATTGTTTTCAGAGACACGGGCCCTCAAACACATTGTACCACTTGGTCAGGGACGTCAAAAAGGTAAGAACCCTCTCGACCGCAGGTCGGAGGCCCTGTCTTGATGGCTTCCTGTGATTAGAAGAGCGTCTGTTTTGCATGAGCTTCCTGAACATTCCTGCCCCTGCCAGACCCCCTTCATTTCAGAACAGTGTGTTTGCGCGTCTTTTAACTCTGACACCTCCGCTTATGACACAGCTGTGATGCCATCGCCAGTCGCCGTGGGTTTAGACGCTTTCGCTGGACACAATGCTTTGGGTAGTGGCAGTCTAGGCTTCCCTCCATGCCCAGTGGATTTATGCCATTACCTGTATTTTTTCCATAAGCCCCTCGCTGTTTGGGGAGCTGGTTTCCATGCTGCCTGGCTGGCCGGGAAAGGTATCTTCATTTGCTAGCTCCTGATACGATATCACATCTAGCATCCCAGAGAGCGTGGTAAGCATAGCTCCAAAAGTTTCAGGAAACAGAGACTAATACACATACATACATTCCATCCTAACAGTCTGTTTTTTCCAGAATATCTTTTCACATTCATCATCTCATTTCATGGGAGACAAAAAAAAGCTGGTAGGTATGGATCAGGTAGAATTATTCTCATTTTACAGATAAGGAGGCTGAAATACAGGGAGGTGAGAACCATGTTGGTGGTTAGGGAGGAGCCAGGAGTAGAGCTCAACTCCTTTGATTAATAGTAATAAAATAATAGCTGTGAGTCAGGGAGGACAGGGTGCGTAGCATTGATAAACGTTTTCAAGGCATCTCAACTCATTTATCCTCCACAACAATTCTATGAAGTTCAATTATTATTTTATTATTGTTACATAGTATTAGTCCCCTGTAAAGATGAGAAGAACGAGGTACAGAGTTTACATTTAATCTTAGCCAAGTGTTTATTCTTTTTCCCCGTATGATCTCCTTCAGAGGCAATTTGGGTTCTGAACCCTTGATCCCATCCCCAAAAGTGATGTGTTAACATCAAAGGATTAAAAAAAAATGACGGTATTTACCCCACCCCGTAAATATGTGCCCAAGCGCACATGTACATATATAACCACTATTGCCACTTTGTAGCGATTCTTCAACAAAATCCACAGGACGTATTCAGGAAAGCTACAAAGTGAGGTCAGAAACACAGTATAATTCCTTCATCACATAGGGCATCATTGATGTCCCATAGACATTTTTTAATTTTCCCTTCAAACGGCCAAATGAATACTGAACCTATCAACCTGCTGGACCTGGGGCTGCTAATAATGAACCTATCAACCTGCTGAATCTTTGCTAAAAATGAATAAAGGATATAAAAACAAAACAAACAAAAGCCTCCCAAATTTCCCTCCTTTGGCCCTTGCAATTTTCCTCTCATCTCCCTACAACCTTAACAAAGAACTTTCCTCTGTGAGTGATGCCTGTAATTCTTTCAAAGCAAGGGAACCAGGCACTGTGCAATCTGTACCCCCAACTCCATACCCATGTCACTAAGACCATCCTCCACTGGTCTGCCCCATGCCCTCCACGAACTCGTTCCTCTCTGCTTCACGTCCTCCAGTTTCATTGAATTCATCCTGGCTTAAAATTGCCTGGAACCCAAACTTGGACGAGGAACAGTAGACACATCCAATGTGTATTCTTTGCCAAGATTATTTGTTGCTCAGGTTCAATAAAATGTTTTGAGTTTCTTTAAAATAACAAGTAGGGTATCATCCCCTCATCTGACGCCAATCTGTGGCCCTGAAAGGAACTGTGAGGCTTTCTGAAGAGTCAGCTCTGTCTTTGGCCCACAACCCCAGCTACTGGCCAACCCAAGCGTTTAAACAAAGTCCTTCACCCAGTTCCACCACCTCGTCTTCTGCCAATAATGTCTTGCTATATTTTCAATCGGATTTTTGCAGCTAGATTTCACTGAGTACAAATATAATCCAAATCCCTCTTATTACCTTCTTTTTCCCATAGGACTCTGCTTTGTAATCTTTTCTCTTTTCGGAAATCCCTAGGGCTGCCTCTTGTAGTTGCTCACATTCCTTGTATTATTAGAAGGCACGTAAAGTATCCTTAGGATAAGGGTGTTTTTTAGCTTCTTAGCTAAAGATCTATAACAAAAATAACAAGAAAAAATAAGGAGGTAAGAATTTGGGAGGCAGGAGGATTCATGAAGAGCAGCTTTTTTTCTTTCAAGTATGATCCAAATATTGGAGAAAAAAATAGTTATGTAAGCATGTACTTACTCTCAAATTTAGTAACTAGAGAAAATGATAATAAATCACCATGCAAAGTCCTGACCTGGCCTAGGAACAACTTAGCCTTTTACCTGGGAGAAGAAATTGCCAATAAGAAAGGGAAAAACAGAAAACCAATGTTTAGTTTCTTCCCTGGGGAAGAAGTAGGAGTGAAAAATGCAGACTCCATTTATTGCCCTGATCAAGGTGAGTGTCTGATTGTCGGAGAGCAAGAAAGAATAACAATACTAGTCTAAGGAGCCCAAGTGTCTGCATTTTATGTCATCTGAATAAAGAGGGCTGCAAATGAAGCTTTATGTTTTATGGGGTTTTTCTTCAAGTACGTAAGGGAAAAATTAACATTGGGGCAGAACTTCCTGAGATGATTCCAGATGACTTCCAGCACTTTAGAAAAATAAGATACTTAAGACTATAAAAACTGGGTTAAAATATTAACCACATCTTGAGACGTTCAAGCAGTTTTCAAAATTAAGGAATATAATAATAATTAACACGTGCTTTCTTTTTTATAATTATAGCAGAAAAATTAAGTGTGTATATGTACATTTTATCTGTGACAAAAATTAACCAGTAAATTCTAAATCCTGGTATAAAATGCTGTTTGTGAGTTAGGAACACAGTCCTGGACCTTAAACATAGTGTTGGATAAGATGTCTGTAAAATTAAATGTAAGTAACTCTTAAGAACCCAAAGAATGTGTTTAGGAATTATCAGACTATCCTAAATCAACCAGCATGACAGCTCCAAGTTCACCCATTCTTTGAGACCAACAGAACTGAACGTGGAAAACTGCTCCCAAGCTTGTTTCGAAATCTCAAATTATTGGTATCAAGGGGACAATCTAAGAGCCATGAGATAAAGAGTGGCTATTCAGCATCAATCAGAAACTTAAATTGATATAAGCCAACGCAGTTCCCTGAAATATTTTCATGCATAAATCCATTGGATGTACCAACGCCTTCATATTAAACCAAAGTGGCCCGAGTCTGTCTGCTGTTTGTGAGATATAACCTGCCATCTTAGTAGCTGTCTGCTCAATTTGTGCCTCTGTATGTACTAAAGTAGTAGCTTTCCTTTCTTACATTATATATGCTAATACGTCAGATTATGTATACTATCCACTCCCCACCAAAGAAGGATATTTGAGTATTATACAGAAGTAGTGGTGAAATTAAAATTTAAAGTTCATTTACATGGGAATTAAGACCCAGAGTTTTACAGAATGCAAAAAAGAAAAAAAAATAAAAAGAATTTCAGACACACTTTGGATAAGGAAAGGACATTTTCATAATCCCATCTGCTAAATTCATGAAAATTTGCAATTCTTATTTTTTTAAAAGATGGTTGCCTCATCTATTCCCATGCTAATCAGCCAGACTCTGGGATGAGATCCTCTTTTCCCCAGAGCTTTCGCCAGACTAAGCTCCCACCTACCGATTCCTCATGGCACCTGCAGTCCACTTTCCCTTATTATAAAAGCTGTTCCAGGGTAGTTTATTTCTCCCTCTCTTGGGAAACCTAACAACCATGACCATTTTCTACCTTACCTATGTCAGAAGGGAACAATGTTGTTTTGAAGGCTTTTTTATAAATTTCAAAGAAAAGAAAGTTCCTAAACAGTTGAAATCTGATAGTGAGATCATGAGCTGACATCTGAAAACCAGAGTTCATTTGGAAAAGCAGATCTAATATGTGAATTTAAATGATTCTTTTAATTACAAGATATCCTTAGGCATGGAGTGGATTAAATCTGAGCATCAGATTAGTAGTTCGTAGCATGAAAAAGGACACAACATTTTCACATTGTCAAATTGTATCTATCCATAGAGCCAAGCCTTACTAACAAATTATTTGAATCACATGGCCTACCTCGTGTTGTTAGAGCATGAAATGAGAAATAATACTTCAGGCTTTACTAATTACCAAAGTAATTACGGAGCAGGGTGGGAAGAGGGAAGCATAACAGAAAGAGCAGTCAGAATGGGTATCCCTCCAGTATCATTCTAGACTTCCAATTTGGAAAGGACTCAAGTAAAGGAAGACTCCTCCAGAAGGTCTGTGGACATTACCTGTTGGTGTGTGAGGTCTGGTTCACCTTCTCTGCTTTTCCCAGAGAGGAGGATGCAGTGAGCACAAGCCCATCCTCACCTTATCCACTTACCATCCCCTGTCTCCAATACCTGGTCCCACTAACCAAACTCCAGGAAGCCACATGAACGTTGGAAGCTCTAGGCAGGGGTCTTTGTCCAGTAGTCTGGCAGCACAGGAAAAGAGCAGCCTGTCAGTTAGGGGTCATACAATTGGACCTTTACAAATGGACAAGACCTTAGAAGTTACTCTGTCCACACTCCCTAGTTTCAGAGCATAAACTGAGGTCCAGAGAAAGGAAATGAGCTGTTCAGGGAGACGTGGGCAGAAGCAGCCCAGGGCTGTTTCCACCGTGAGATCGTATCACTCACTGGCTGTTTGCTACATGAATATCTATAAAGTCCCCTCTGCCCAGCAATGCCCGTCCTAGGAGAAACATTGCCTGTGACACCTGCAAGTCACTGGCCCAGCACCTCATTATGTGCGGAAGCCGCTATCCCCTTCAGAGCCCACCAGGACAGTTAGTCCAAGAGGTCTAAATTGTACCCAGTTTTATTCACTGAATGAAATCTATTTCTTCTTCCCCCAAAGGTTTCCACCCTTCCTAGTAAGAAACAAAACTAAGTTCCCTTAACTGCTCTGCTTCTCAAGGTCACTATAAAGAAGCAGATGCAGCCGGCCTCATGGGCTAAGTTCAAGAACATTACATGATGCACTGTCCCTCCTCCAGATCTTACCTCAACAAGAGCATCTGACTCTCTCCTTATCCTCCAATCCTTTGATCTATTCCAGATTCGCTTAACTGGCCTTATTACCCACTGAAAGCAGAGAGGTCAGGTAAATGCTGGTGAGGAAGGAATTCTCACTGGCTTCTTTTAGGTGAACACCGGCCCCTCATAGTCACGAAAATTCAGGCCAGTTCTTTTCAGGCCCTCACTGACACTTCTGAAGAACCTGAATCTTCTTCTGCTTCAGACTCCCACATACATCAGTCATTCTGAAAGAATGAAGCTATTGCTGAAAATGTTTTATTTGCCCCTTATATTTTTATTTATTTGAATTTGACTAGTATCACTTTCCTAACAATTCCCACTATTAAAGACATCTCAAGAGTACAAATATTGCCATTTTATATTGGTCTTCAAGCCACATCGATGCCTTATTCTTAGAATTCAAACTGATGCTCATAGCTAAGTTTCTCAGAGCAAAATACATAGGCATTCTGTTCATTGGTACGCACGTTTCAAATATTTTAAATTCTTACAAAATTAAAAGTAGGCACAGACCCATGGACTTGCTCTGATTGTCTTTTCCTAGCATCACAATCAATCCTTAGGGGATTTTTCCGAAACCTGGCATTTGAGCATTTTAGACCACAAAGGCCAGGGAGTGCCACCTCCTGCTACTAGAAAGAAAAGTGCAGCCCGAGGGAATGACTGAGTCCTGTAGGATAGACACAGACCCAGGGTAGCTGACCAGAAGCGGGTGTTCTCCCCCCTTAAGGCTGTTCTGCCCCACTGTGCCAAAGAAAATTAAACAGACAGCTGTGGCATCCTCTGGAGGTTGTCCTTATAGGGCCCAGACGGCTATGGTAGGAGCCGGCCCAGGCAGGTGCAGTCTCTTGGACTCTTCTCCTTAAATGACAGCCTTGCCTAACAAGCCAGTAAAGCCGGGGGATACAGAAACTGTGGCCTTGCTAACCTGCTCCAAAATAATGGAGAAAAGTGGCTGCATGGGCACTATTTTTAAACGCAGTTTAATTTTTATGGAAAGGGCAATACATGAAAAGTTACTATCTTAAACCTTGCTCTGAGTTCCCTTTTTAATACTTTTGCCATTCTTCGCATAAAGAAGTCAGACAATTGGTCTTTCTTTGTAGCCTGAAGAGAGCTTAACTTGCTGATTCAGTCAGATGGAGAAAATGATCTTTAGAGGTTTAGTGGTCATGCCTGCAGTCCCAGTGCTTTGGAAGGCCCGGGGGAGAGGATTGCTTGAAGCTAGGAGCTCAAAAATTAGCCAGGCATGTCCTCAAAAGGCTGAGATGGAAAGATGGCTTGAGCCCAGAAGTTCAAGGTTATAGTGAGCTATGATTGATGATGCTACTGCACTCTAGCCTGAGCAACAGAGCAAGACCCCATCTCTTTAAAAAAAAAAAAGAAATGGAAAAGAAAGAAAAAAATCTTTAAACAATGGAGATTTTGAAATCCTGACTGAGATCATTTTTGTGATGGGACAATTCAGCCAATCAGAGGGAAGTCATGTTGGTGGAGAAGGACCCAGTCAAGGAAGGGAGGGGTTCTATGCCTCAAAGTGTTCCCACTCATGTGTGGTGGCCTTCATTCAGTCTCATTTTGTCTGGCTGGTTCAAATTAGATCCCTGAGCCTGCCATGCACTCCAACCCAAGGCAGAGACTGGGGCTGGAGCAATTTCTGGGGACAGCAAAGAAGTCTAAAGAGCAGCGATGAAATTCTGCCTTTGAGGCAAGTGCTTCAAATGCTTCTCCTCCACTTTATCCCGTTGAGAATAGCCACTGAATTCCAGATACAGTGATAGGTGTATTGGGAGGTGAATTTCCACAGGGAGCTCAGGCTCTCCCAACCAGGGGTGACTGATAGCCTGTGGCTAGTTAGTTGTGTTACTAAGAACATAATTCTTTTTTTTTTTTTTTTGAGACGGAGCCTCAAGCTATCCCCCTGGGTAGAGTGCATGGCATCATGCTCACAGCAACCTCCAACTCCTGGGTTCAAGCGAGTCTCCTGCCTCAGCCTCCCAAGTAGCTGGGACTACAGGCGCCCGCCACAACGCCTGGCCATTTTTTGGTTGCAGCCATCATTGTTGTTTGGCGGGCCCAGGCTGGGGATTCGAACCCGCCACCTCAGGTGTATGTGGCTGGCGCCTTAGCCACTTGAGCCACAGGCGCCGAGCCTAAGAACATAATTCTTAAAAACCCAAGCTCAGACTTGATCCCAGCCAAATCAATTAATGTCCCTGTTCTGCTGGTTTACGTTTTCACCGAAACATTCTGAATGCTTTACATATACGTGGCCCTACAAGTGGCACTGAGAATATAAAGAGAAACAAGACAACTTTAAAAATACATAAAAGTACAGGTTTAATGACAGATTACCATGGGCTACCTCAGACCCTAAACCCCAAAACCTTCCAAGGGATATGGCTGACCATAGAAGAGCGAAGTAAGGAAAACTAAAACCCGCCCTCAGCTTAGCAAAAGAACTTAATTTCCAATTGACAGGGATTCTCTTTTTATGCTATGGAATTTCCTGGTTCTGCCATGTAATTTACAGTTGCCGCTAGAACCTTACTTAGCAGACAAGTAGTCTGACGAACTTGTTGTATAACAGAATCACCTGGAGGAACTGATAAAGCTAATAAGAAACTGATACATTGTAGTAGGGAGGACAAGGTCCAGGCCTTTGTACTATCACCGAATTCCCCAAATGATTCTGATGCCACAGGAAAACCACCAATAGAGATTATGAGTCTCTTCTATAAAGTGGCGGAAATCTCACGTAGCATCCTGGGTGGGTCCCTGATTAAGAACAAAACTACATGAACTCCCTCATGCCTCTCCAAATATATCTTAAGGACAGAGCGCACAGGCTTCTGATGCAGCCCACCCCAGCCACTCAGTACAGAGCACTGTCCTGCAAGGAGGGACTAACCAGGCAGGCAGAGTGAATTGGTCCTGCCCTTCCAAATTCACTGCACACGCAGAATCTCCCACAAATGGAAGTGATTCTTCCTTGACCAAGAGAGTGGAATATCAGACCCTAAAGAGCTCTTTTTTTAAAGTAGAAAGCAATGATGAATAAATAATAATAAAAACTTGACTATTTCTGCATGGATACGTGGCAAGCAGCTAAAAGATACACCATAACTCTAAGTCTTTAAGAAACACTATTCTCTTTGAAGAAAAAAATGAAAACTCTGTTTAATTCTGGGAAAAGTGAATATTTAACTGATAAAACGTTGTCTCCTATCCCTTTCCCACTTCTCTTTAAACCCAAGGGATGTTCAGGCACAACTCTGTCTTAACACCCAAATCCCCTCCCTAGGCCCTGGTCCTCTTTTATGAAAAGGGTTCCCTTATTTTTTTTTTTTTAATTATTAACAGAGGGTTAAAGGAGTCCTGGGCCCTGAGCAGGTCTTGGCTGATGCAGGCCTGGTAATAACACTCATCTTCTGAAAGGAGTCTTCCTTTAGTGAGGGGGAGAGCTGAGTGATTGTCAGGAGGACAGTGGCAGAACCAGGTCAGAGGCAGACAGGGAGGCTGGGGGACATCTGGGGATCCTAGAGTCTAGTGACATTTGCCGTGTCGAGCTTTGTGTTTCTTTCTGCTACACTGGTGTTTTTTTCTCCCCAGCTGAAGACTTGAATAAATATTTTGATTTTCTGTTATTGCCGACGATTACTGCATCTTCTTATTTAACTTATGTCTTCTTTCCAAGCGAGAATATCCAGGTTTCGGTTGGATCTATTTTAAGGTGAATGAATTAACCAGCATAATAATACATTCTTATATTTCTTTTTTTTTTTTTTCATTATTTTTTTCTCTAAAATAGTTACAGAGCACACGAAATAGAATCCCTAGTAAACCACGTTGTCTTTTTGGGTTTGTGCGTTTGTTTCGTTCTTCCCTGGTAGGGGAACCTGCCCCCGGACTACAGAATTAGCCTGATTGACATCGGCCTGGTGATCGAGTACCTGATGGGCGGGGCTTATCGCTGCAACTACACGCGCAAGCGCTTCCGGACCCTCTACCACAACCTGTTCGGCCCCAAAAGGGTGAGGCTTACAGCAAATGCCTGGGGCCCTCTAGGACAGCCAAGGGTGTGGCTTGTCACCTAGAGAAAGAGCAAGAGAGGACATAACTGCCCTTCTTCTTCCCTCTTACATCTAGAGTGTTCAATTTTTATTAATTAGAAAAAAACAGAGTGTATGGGGTGGGGATCTTTTCAGTGGGTATTTTTCTTTCTATTTTTCTCTATGTCCAATTCAAATGAGACAATGGCAATGACAGTGATCTTAAATAATCAGAACAGTAATGAAATTCAAATGAATCTTACTCTTAAGCTTATTAAACTCAGCAGTTTTCAGGTCTTGGGATCTATTTACCCCTTTAAAAATTGTTGAGACTCTAAAAATATGTGTTAATTCATTTTAACATAAGAATCCCATTACATGCTAAAATAAAGGCTTATGAAAAACATTTTCAAAAACCAAAAATTCCTAAGAGTAGCATGGTTTACATTTTTTTTCCAAATTTCTGTACTGTCTGACTTAATAAAAAGCAGATTCTCTAAATGCTGGATTCAATCTACTACAAGACATTTTGAAGTTTATAAAGAAAATCTGATCACACAAAAATATGTGTCAAATATTATAAATATACCAGAAAAAAAGGAAGGAGTATTAGTGTCTTAACAATACAATTGTGGATATTCTTCTTTTGCAATACACAAAACTCTAACAAGTAGCAATTTCTTTAAAATGAGTTGCAGGCCAGGGTCAGTGGCTCAAGCCTGTAATCTTAGCACTTTGGGAGGCCAAGGCAGGTGGAGTGCCTGTACTCATGGGTTTGAGTCCAGCCTAAGCACGAGCAAGACCTTGTCTCTAAAAATAGCCAGACATTGTGGCTGGGGCCTTAGTCCCAGCTACTCAGGAGGCTGAGGCAAGAGAATCACTTGAGCCCAGGAGTTTGAGGTTGCTGTGGGCTATGACGCTACAGCACTTTACCAAGGGAGACAAAGTGAGACTGTCTCAAAAAAAAAAAAGAGTTGCAATGTGAAATCTAACACCATATAAGTGAATTTTCATACTCTGTCCATTAAAATCCTCTTGTCTATCTGGAAGTGGTTCCCAGCTACTCAGGAGTCTGAGGCAGAAGGATGGCTTGAGGCCAGAAGTGGCTGTTCATTACTATTAAAGTGCCTGTGAATAGCCACTGTACTCCAGCTTGGGGACATGGTGAGAATCTAGAAAACCAAAATTTAAGCCTGAGAAAGCCTTGAGTAGAGACCACGTCTCTACTAAAAACAGAAAAACTAGCAGGGCATTTTGGCCTGCACCTAGCTACTTGGGAGGCTAAAGCAAGAGGATCCCTCGAACCCAAGAGTTTGAGGATGCTGTGAGCTATGGATGCCACAGCACTCTACCCAGGGAGACAGAGTGAGATGCTGTCTCAAAAAAAAACCCAAAAAACTAAAATTTAAAAAATAAAATAAAACCCACTGTTCTATTTTGTATTGTGTATGGATCTTGTAACATCATAGATTGGTCACCAGAAAATGTTGGTTTGCTGAGTTAGACAGATCTTCCAAAATGTTGACACATTTCATTATATAATTTCCAAAGATCACATTCATTAACATTGTCTCTAATCTCATCCGAAAAGTCTTTACATACTGAAGAGCTGTCAGGGTCATGAGGAGAAATGCAAGTTTTCCACAATTCCAATTTTTTTGAAAGTTTAAATTTTTTCATTGGCAACAATTACTGTCAGTTGTTTTCCTTGAAATGATAACCTCCCTTTAGTCATTCCAAAAATGTCTTCCAAATGTCCAAGTCTAAAAAACCATAGTCTGTCTGCCAGCCATTCCTTCAAGTAAAAATGATATTCTATGAAAAGAAAAAAAGTGGCTAGAACTCAGTGCAAACCACCACGTAAGTGCTTTTCCCCAGGATGACCCACCGTATGTAGTTTAGTGGACAGCGGTAATACTTCGGGGATAGGCTTCCCATTTTATCCCACAGAACAGCAAAAGGACATGAAACCAAGGGAGAGATTGATTAAAGTTAATCATTTTTAGGCCTCAGCAAGGACCTTGTTTAGTGAAACTTTTTATTTTTTCTGCAAGTACCTAACAGTGGAATCTAATGACAACTGGTTAAGTTTAGTACCCCTGCCTTTATTCTTGCTAAGGTGCCCAACAGTTTTGATTCACTACTGTTTTTGCGCCATCAGTGCAAATGTTAACATGGTATCAAAACCCAATACCGTCTTCATATTATTGCGACAATAGCTTTGATTTCATATACTCTCTGAATGTGCTTCAAGGGGCCTGCGGGATCCATGGACCACATTCTGACAATAGCCAGGCCAGCTGGTAGTAGGCATGATTTTATTTTTGACAAAGCTTTCTTCTGTTTATGAAGATATTTTGTGGGACTGGTAGAGAAATTTAATGAAGTGTGAAAAAAAATAACAAAAATTTTAGGTTGGGTGGTCCTTATAGAAACTGAAAGAAAAGGGAGAGAGACTAGGTTCTAGCTGTTCCAGCTTGAATAGTCAAATAAAATTTTGAGGAACTGTAAATGCTATAACCTTATCATTTACTCAAATCACTTTCAAGATGGCACCCAACCATTCTGTAATACTTAAAAGCTTAGAATTGGTATTCCTGCCCCCTGAGTTATGATTTTGATCTCTCCTTGTTAAATGTAAATCAGGGTCTGTGATCTGCTGAGTTGCCCTCTCTCTCTGTCTCGGTCTGTGCCCATTTGGCACATCCCCAGCAAAGCTGATGATGACCTCTTGTGTGCTGACACTTTCCGAGCCATTGAGTGCCTTTGCCACCATCAGCACATGCCCTCTGGCCCTCCTCACCCTCGCCCCTCCTTGCCGCGGTGTAGGGAGATGGCCAGCATGAAGCTTCCAAGCATATATTTCTAAATAATACCCCAAGTCTCCAGGAAGTAGAGGTTTTTCAGGGCTTTCAGAAATGTCTTATTTGATCTCTTGAATTCAGCGTCTCGTTGTTCATCTGTCTTAGTCCATGCAGGGGCTATAATAAAATACCATGAATTGGCCTGCTATAACAACAGAAATTTATATCTCACAATTCTTGGGGAGTCCAGGATCAAGGAGCTCACAGATTCAGTGTCTGATGATGGCCCATTTCCTGGTTCATAGGTGGCACCTTCTCATTGTGTCCTTACAAGGTGACAAGGTGAACAAGCTCCCATAGGCCTCTTTTACAGAGGCACTCATCTCACTCATGAGGGCTCTTCCCTAATCACCTCTCAAAAGGCCTACCTCCTAATACCATTACCCTGGGGTTTAGAACCTCAACATCTACATTTGGAGAGGAGGCAGTGCTATGGCGGTATCAGCCAAGCCGGGTGGTTATAGGAAGTGAAAGAAATCTTAATACACAAAAGACCTGCTCATTATACCTCTGCAGTTTCCCAATTTTCCATGATTCACCAAAATCACTAAATCACATAATTCTCTTAGAATTTCTATAAATAAGTTCTTCTTGTGGTGTTTTATTTAGCAAGATAAAAATAAGTGCTATATGGCACAATAAATTTCTTAAATTACCTATTTTAAGATGTAGTAGGACTCTTGTCTTACCTCTATGAAAGAAAGATCTAACTTTGTTCATACATTTTTTTTTTTTAAACAGCCCAAAGCTTTGAAACTGCTGGGAATGGAGGTAAGGGCTCAAATTATTAGTGTCAATTATTTATTCAATTCATCTCCCATCTTTAAAAAAATGTCTAGCAATTCATTTCAGTGGGAAGTCTTAGTACATAATTTTAAAATTAAAATTTGTCAAGTGTCACTGGGGGCATCTCACAGTATCTTTGAAAATTCCACCATGAGGTTATGTCAGCGTGGCAAACAAAAAAAATATTTGAAATACTAACTTAAAGAATTAGGAAGGAGGGTGGTTCCTGTGGCTCAAAGGAGTAGGGCACTGGCCCCATGTGCCGAACGTGGTGGGTTCAAACCCAGCCCCAGCCAAAAAACTGTAAAAGAAAAAAAAAAATGAAAGAAAAGAAAAGAATTAGGAAGGATATACATTCTAGTAAGTAGAATCTCTCCGTAGGTATTTATAAATGGCATAGATCAGAACTACTTCACAAATGCATCTAATACATATGCATGAACTTGAGATAGATTATCTGTTTCCCATCTTTTTTTATGTGGTTATTATCATATATGCAAATAGGATGCCCTGTCCTTTCAGCAAAAAGAATAGTGCCATCCATCATGGGACATGTACAAACCAACCTACCTGTAGCAGATAAAAAAGGACAAAGAAAAAGAAAACAGCCCATTAAAAAATAACTTTTTATTTAGAGTACAGCATTGACATGTTTCCATAGGACTAGCTCATGTATTAATTATAACTTGTTTTAAAGTTTGACATGCATCTGTGTGTAAGTTCCTTTAAGACAGGTGCCGGCCTAGTTCATGGATCCCAGAACTGAGCCAGTAGAAGACCTATAGTAGCTACTTGTGTAAAGAAAGTGATTCATTTCTAACTCAGCCTGTGTGTTGTCCCTAAAATTACAGGACGATATTCCCTTGAGGCGAGGAAGAAAGACAACTAAGAAGCGTGAAGAAGAGGTGGACATCGACCTGGATGACCCCGAGATCAATCACTTCCCCTTCCCTTTCCATGAGCTGATGGTCTGGGCTGTCCTCATGAAGCGGCAGAAGATGGCCCTCTTCTTCTGGCAACACGGGGAGGAGGCCATGGCCAAGGCCCTGGTGGCCTGTAAGCTCTGCAAAGCCATGGCTCACGAGGCCTCTGAGAATGACATGGTGGACGACGTTTCCCAGGAGCTGAATCACAACTCCAGGTTGGCCTGCTCAGCAGATGGGGTGGTTGGGGTAGAGATGGGAAAGTGGGCTTCAAATACCGGAGGGTCTGAGCTACCCAAAACGTTAAGGGGAGACAGTATCGCTCCCATAGTGCACACAGAGGTGGGCGTGAGTAATTTACCTACTACAGGTGGCAGCCCATAAAGTTAGCTAGAAATGTGTATTTCATCCTCTCAACTACCCCAAGAAATAGGTCCTATTATTATGCATTTCTGAGGAAAATGAGGATGGGAGAATTTAAGCAGCTTGTCCGAGATTGCACATTTATCATTGGGAAGGCTGGAATTTGAACGGAGGTTTGCCACATTTAAGACGACATACAGCACTCTAATTATTGACTGACTGGCTTGCTCCCCGCCCTGCCCGGCCCAAATTTGAGGCCATGAGTGAGCAGATCACACCTGTTTGACTAATACCCCAGTTGTAAACACCGTATCCCCCACACAGAGACGCTTAATGTATACTGGCTAAATTTATGAACAGACTAGTCCCCATAGGAAACAGCTACACCACACAGCAACCACCTTTTGTGACTGGCCATCAGGTCCCCACTTTTGTCCCACGTCCCCAAGCCCACCTAAAGGATTCTTCCTCCCATTCTCCCTTTCAGGGACTTTGGCCAGCTGGCGGTGGAGCTCTTGGACCAGTCCTATAAACAGGACGAGCAGCTGGCCATGAAACTGCTGACTTACGAGTTGAAGAACTGGAGCAACGCCACGTGCCTGCAGCTCGCGGTGGCGGCCAAGCACCGCGACTTCATCGCGCACACGTGCAGCCAGATGCTGCTCACTGACATGTGGATGGGCCGGCTGCGCATGCGCAAGAACTCAGGCCTCAAGGTCAGCGCGCCCAAGGCGGCCCTCTGGGCTGTGCCAGCCTGAGGGTTGGAGTTGTCCGAGCCAAAAATGTGGTGGGGTTAGGCATTCTCTTGTGTTATCAGGGTGGTTCCAAATCCCGGACACGCATTAGAATCACCCCTAGGATGTTGTTTTGTTTTGCTTTGCTTTGTATATGAAGGCTAGGGCCTCCCCCAAGTCCTGCGAAATCAGAATCCCTAGAGAGACTGCCTAGACGTTAATATTTTTCAGAAGATCCAAAAGTGGTGGTTATACACAGGGACCACAGGAAGTGCCATTTCCATGGGCACAAGCCAGCACACCAGGAGTCCTCACCTCGCACCTGTCACCCTGTGGGTGCCTTAACCTCCTGCCCTCCTTGGTATCATGTCACAGAGACATTGGCACTTCCCAGATGTGCTTGAGATCGGTTTTAAAACTGAAATAAAAATGAGACAGATTTACATGTAAAGCCATTGCTAGGTAACCCTCTACTCTTAAACAAGGAAAAGCAAGTTGCAGACCAGTCTGTGTAACCCGAGTCCATTCTTCCCCCGTGTGTAATGTCTTGTCATGTCTGTATAAAGTAATCTGTACAAAAACAGGAAGGATGGTAAATTGTTCCCAGTCGTTACCTCTGACGTTGAATGGATGATGTGAAGGACTTTCCTGGTTTTCAGATAAGTAGGCTGATGAGTAGCTTTTGCTTTTTTAATGGTTTTTTTAATATGTTTTTGAAGGACATCATTAAACTGAAAGAAGTGAAAGAAAGATAAAACATAGACGGCAGAAGATGGAAAGAATGTGGGGGTTTTGTTCCTTTTTTGTTTTTAATTTTTGTGATGCCAGATTCTTTCTTTCTTTTATGACTATACAATAGTCGAGGTGTACAACAAGACGTTTCGATATACACAGTGAAATGGCTCCTATAGTCAAGCAAATTACCAGTATCTATCATCTTGCATAGTTACCCTTTGTGTATGTGTGGTAAGATCTACTCTCCCGGTAAATTTTTAGTATACAATACAATATTATAACTATAGTCTTCTATAGTTACAGATCTCTATTGTACTTACCCTACCAATCTCCAACTTTGTGCCCTTTGACCTACATTTCCTCCCTCCCCACCCCCAGCCCCCAGTTTTCCGGCCCACCATGCCTCCTCCCACCCCACTCTTCCTGTTGGCTCCTGGCCCAGGGTCACAGAAGGGTTCTGTACAGTGAGTCATGGACACTCTGCAGCTAATGACCGCCAAGCCTGGCCTCAGGCAGGGAGCCAAGCCCTCTCTCAGCTCTGATACAGGGTGTAATGTCCCCCAAAAGCTGCCAGCATGCTACCTGAGCCTTCCCAGGCCTGCCAGGCACCCAGAATTCAGGGTCATCACTGTCCTTTTCCTCTGATCTGCTCTTGAGTCCCTGTGGGCAGTCAAGCACAGGCTGTCTCTGCCTCACTATTTGAAGATCATTTTTTTCCCCCGAAAGCTTTTTTTAGCCCTTCAGGATCTCTCTCAGCCCCTCACCTTGGAGCAGCTTCTTCAGGGAGATTAAACTTTGGAAGCTTCGTACCCCAGTGTCATTTTAGGCTGGAGAGATGAAGTGCGTGATGACTAGGGGACCACAAGATAGATGTCAGTATTATCGTTCAGAATTGCACTTGCTCCCCAACAATGCAGAATGAGATTGCCCTACCTGGGAAGGGCCTCTGTATTTAGTAACCTCACATAGAGATTTACACAAGATGTTAAGACCTGAGAGAAATTCAGTGCTGGCCCCTCCTGGGGCATTCGTCCAAGGGCATCCTCTTGGTGCCTACAGAGCCCACTAGGGTGTGGACAAGCTGTTTGTAAGTGCTGCCAACATACGCACATGGTGGCAAGTTGGAGAACTTGAGTGTCAGACCTCTTATGTGTGCTTCTGTTGCATTGTGGGGATTACTCTAACACGAATAAGGTGCTATACTACATGTACTCTCTCAAGGTCAGCTTACAACAGTATTTTTTAACAGACATAATCAGATAATACAGAGACAACCCACTTGACACATAAGCAACTGCCAATGGATGTATGTATGAACTAATTTCAATCAAAATCAAGTGCTGTCCAATGGCTAAGTGGAAATCTGAATTCTCTCCCACTCTTGTCCTGAATGGAGCCTCTCTTTTTCCTTAGTTTCCTCCATACAAAGTGAGTTTTAATTGGGTAAAGTGTACTAGGTAAAATGCTTTTTTTTTTTTTTTTTTGCCAGGGCTGGGTTTGAACCCACCACCTCTGGCATATGGGGCCGGCACCCTACTCCTTTGAGCCACAGGCACCACCCAAGGTGAAATGCTTTCTTCCCCCCACAATTCAAGTGAACTACCATGCAAAATACTATCCCCTAAGAGACAAAGTGACCCTGTTGGCAGTAATGTGTTTAGGTAGTCAGCTGTCCAGGTCAGGCCCCCCACAGAGCATACAACACCCGTGGGCGCGTCATATACACTCTGGAACACCATGCCCCAGGCCCTCTGATTCTAAGCAGTCACCCTAATCTTAATCCTTTAAATGTGATTATTATTATTATCATTATTATTACTTTAGGTAATTCTGGGAATTCTACTTCCTCCTTCAATTCTCAGCTTGGAGTTCAAGAACAAAGACGACATGCCCTATATGACTCAGGCCCAGGAAATCCATCTCCAAGAGAAGGAACCAGAAGAACCAGAGAAGCCCACAAAAGAAAAAGAGGAAGAGGACATGGAACTGACGGTAAGAAAGCACAACCCAGTCCTCATCCGTGGGAGACTCACTAATCTGCCTGTCCTGCTGATGAGAGCTTTGTGGTCCGGTGTCTGCTCCTTAGCCCCCGCTGTGTTTAATCACGGGGTGCTTTCATTTAAGTGTTGAGACCAGGGTATAATAAAAGTGTTCCCTTTCTGTCTAAATATAGCATGATTATCCTAGGGTCCAACTGTATGTGAAATCTTCCAGCCAGCCAATGGTGCAGGACAAACCCACATAAGTCAAAAGCAAGACACCCTACACTTTCCCAAAAAATCAAAGTATTATGAATATCCAGGTAATGTGTCTGTCTTAGCACCTGAAGAGAGAAAATCCATGATTCCGGAGCAGCCAGCTTCCCTGAGCTGGAACTGTTCTGCTGATCAGAAGCTGAGCCTGTATCTGTCTTCGGGGTCAGGCTCACAATGGCAGCACTAATTGAATTTTGAGGTTTGTATGGAAAGCTTTTATTAGCTCTTCCTGGTATAATTATAGAGCATGGATGCTTTGTTCTGCAGAGGGAAGGGGGCAGCTGGGCCTGGGACGGCTACCCGCAACTCCCGCCTGAACAGCGTGACTGCCACTGGCTCCTTTCCAAAGGCTAAAAATACCATGCACTATTAAAGGGACATACAGGGCTTGAAAGCTTGGGAGCTGTCAAGCAGCAGCCCCTAAGGACTTTCCTGATGTGCCTCACACCCCCCAGCACCACCCTGGTTGATGACTGTTGCTGTAGTGACCCATAAGAAGATATAAGGGGAGAAAACAAAAAAGGCTCGGGTGACAAAAAGCCTTTGCATTCTTATCCTAGTGGGACCACTGTATGAATTGTTTTTCCTACAGATAAACAATATTTCTTTCCAGTGGGCCCTTTCTAAACATCTGTTTCCCGTCCAATCCTGACTCACTGAATTGAAAGCCAACATTTGTTTCAGCTTCAGGATCCTCATAAAAACCTGCGGAGGAGTGCACTCAGCTCTGTTTTCTCTAACAATCTTGCCCTAATTTTGGCCTCTTGGATGGGATAAGGCATTTTAATCATTAGTAGATCATTGGTAGTAATAATCCCAAATCTTCATTGAATATTCCAGCAGAATGTGTGCTCTAGAGCCAGAATCCTATTCCCTTCCCAGTGAGTAGGGCTATAACCTCTAACATGGGAATGACATTGTCTACCTCACAGGTGGTATGTATCACTTAAAATGTATGCATGTAGACTACTTAGATTGGCAAATGGCACACCCAGAAACTTTGATAAATATGCATTAATATTGTTATGACAGTGCTATAGCACTTATTCATGGAATTTTCACAACAGTCCTATGAGGTGGGCACTATTATTAATATACCCATTTTACAGATGAGGAAGCTGGGATTCAGAGAGGTTAAATTGTCCAAGTTTGCTTAGCCAATTAATTGCAAGGCTGAATTTAGAACCTGGACGTACGGATTCTGTTGTCCATGCTTTTAGCCCATGGGTTAAGAAAGAGGGAGAATTTCTCCCTATTCTCAAATGTGGGTGCTCAGCTGGTTTGGTCCACCATGCAGCAAAGTGAATCCAAAGTGATACCCAGGCCTCCTATGTCAAGTGTGCTGGGGCCTTGACATTAGCACACATTCTAGAAAGACAGCCAAAAGCTGAATCAGGACTGTCTCAGGTCGGGTTTCAAGGAAGAAAGAAAAGGGAGGTAGTGGCTTTGTGGACCTGATCCTTCAAGAAGCCACAATAGAAGATGCATCTCAGCTGTGCCTGGTGACTCATACCTCTCATCTTAGCACTCTGGGAGGCCAAGGCTGATGGATCCCTTGACCTCAGGAGTTCAAGGCTAGCCTCAGTAAGAGTGAGACCCTGTCTCTACTAAGAATAGAAAAGTTAGCTGGGTGTTATGGTGGTACCTTTAGTCCCAGCTGCCTGTGAAACTGAGACAGGAAGATTGCTTGAGCCCACAAGGTTGAGGCTGACGCCACAGCAGTCTAGCCTGAGGCAACAGAATGAGAGTCTGTCTCAAAAAAAAATCAGATGCATCCCTAGACTATTAGCAAAGTCTGCTTAAAAGAGAATAGGTCCTAGTGTTGTTCACTGAGAACCAGCTACCCCGCAATCACAGTACTGCCAAAGCTGGTTCTCCACAGTCAGGGACAGCAGGGAGGAGGGGAAAGGAAGGAAGGGAAGTGTGGGCTGGCGGCTCCGGATTAGACAGCAGCTGCCTTGCTATCCAGGGCAGCCTCCTTTGACTCTGATGGCGAGTTTTGTCGCTGCTCAGCCACTGCTCAGCAAGCTCGCCCCCTCTCCCCGGGACAGGATTGGAGACTGCGCCCCACTGGCACTGTCTTTCCTTTCACGGGATTGACATTTCAGGTTCTGTGCTAAACTAATACATCCTCTTTGAGGATGGGACCCTTTCCTGTGGCCCTTCTACAATGATACATAAAAATACCAACCCCCGTTCACTCCATTTTTGTGGCCTTAGTAGTTGAGTTCACCTCGAAATCCTTCTCAGCTTTGACGGCTGTGTCCAGCCAGCAAAGATTCTGAAACCGCTCTGTGGGGTTTCGTCTGTGTTTGACTCTGTTAAATTCTGCTGCAAGGAATATCAAAGGAAATATTTGACTCCAGGAAAAAGAAATCAGCAAAATCACAAGTTAAGCTGCTTAGGCTGGAATTAATGAGATGTCAGAAATTCAAACCCATGAAAGACAAGCCTTTTACACATGCATTCATGTTGGAATATATCTAAATACTAAAGGCAAAGCAGGTGGTGGGTTTTGTTGTTTTGCTCACATGGCCAGACAAATGTCTCCACCCTGCACTTTGCCTAATAAAGTTCTAACAAGTCCATAGACAGCGGGCAAGGCTAGGGGTCTGCTGGGAAAGCCACGGTTCATTGAGGTTACCCCATGACCCTCTCACCAAGATGTCTAAAAACCTTCGAGGTGTCTTTACTCTCATCTCCTTGTGTCACCAAAAGGCATTGTATTTGTCAAGCATAGAAATAAGAACACAAGCAGGACAACTGTGTTATGTAAATTATAGGAGGCCAAATATCAGGTAACCTCAGAGCTTCTTGAGGTCAGCAACCAATATTTATAGAGTTTTATTGCTGTCCCTGTGCTATATCTGTCATGAAGATGGCCTCAGCTGTCTGATCAGCATAAACACTTGGTAGGCCTTGGAATGGAACCTCACCTACCCATTAACTCAAGATATTTCTCTAGGCAGGTGGTCCACGAAGGAATGGAAGTTACCTTCTCCAGACATCCTACTGGTTACAAGGAAGTCAGTAGCTGAGTAAAGTGGTTATTAGAGGTGATGATCCAGGTAGTTGAAGCTAACACTTGTATATTTTTAGGTAAGATGGTGTGGAAAAATAGTCATCTAGTGGTTATCTTTATTTTCAACTTCAAATCAGATTGTTTCTATGATTTGATCTCTCAAGTCTGACAGTCATATTCCCAGTAATCCGTCTTATCACCAAACTTGTCAGTCCTGACAAGTTAGACAATTTTACCCTGTTCTCACATTTAATAAAAATCTCTAGACTCTGTGGAACTAGTCTTGTCTTAGAACAATATTGAAAAATTAAGGCAAAATGCTGTTGTAGAGTCTAATAAAATATTCTTTTATAGTGAGAGATTTCAACTAGATCATTTTAGTCAAGTATCCAAGAAGATCTCAGTTCACGGAGGTTTACTGAGCACTTATTAAGTGCCAGATGCTAATTAATTTGTAGGCCAACTCGATAGCAGGTGCTTTATTACCCCATTTTATAGTTTAAAAAAGAAACTAAAACTCAAAGATGTTAAAACTGTGTCCCTGGGGCCACCATTTATCAGTGTCCAAGTTAGGCCTCAGGCCCCCATCTGAGGGACACGATACCTGGAACTCTCTCCCACTAGGATCTTTAGATGTCTTTGAGGCATCCTGTCACTTGCAACCCAGCCAGGCAGGTGTCTGCCTTCCCTCGAGTCCTGCTTTTTTTGCAATTAGGTTTTACCGGATTTGAAATCTGGGAGCCAAGACACATGCCTAAGAGTTGGAGGACATCTTTAACCTAATTAAGTTTTAAGCACTTCAGATGATTCATCTCTTGACTACTCACAACCCTTAGATAAATTAGGTATTCTGGTCCAAATTACTCTGACTTAGCATGGGTAGAGACAGACTTGAATCCCTATCTAGCCGATTTCATGATGTGTAGGGGGAGAGAGGGTAGGGAAGGACAGGGGGTGGGAGCCTGGCCTTGCTGGGCTACACACTTCCTCTGGGTATCTCCTGTCACCCACATCTTCCAGAAACCTAAGGGTGGAAGCAAAGAGAATAGTCAAGAAATACCTTCAAGGCCTTCCACCTAAACCAAAGGGGAGACACAGATTATGTGTGCAATACAAATGCACATTTAAGGAAGGCACAACCTCTAAATCTCGTTTCATGAGCACCCTTCCCTCATCTATAAAACGAGCACATTGCACTTCATGCCCTCCAGAGCCCTGCTGTGATGGTGTCACGTCTCTCCACTGTAGGCAATGCTGGGACGAAACAACGGGGAGTCATCCAGGAAGAAGGATGAAGAGGAAGTTCAGAGCAGGCACCGGTTAATCCCCCTGGGCAGAAAAATCTACGAATTCTACAACGCACCCATCGTGAAGTTCTGGTTCTACACGGTAAGCAACTTTCCTTTTCTCCGTCCTAGCGGATGGGCACAAGGAGCCGACATCCATTTCTCATGCACCTGTGTGGGTTTCTCTGCAGGTCGTAACATGAGTCCTCACAGGCAGGCAGGAGTGCTCCGTGACCTTGCTTTTTCAATAGCTTTGCAAGATTTGTGGAGTTAGGAAGCTAAGTTGGGAAACTTCCACAGGCTACATTTCTCCACCTCTCACAAAATAAAGGAAATGGTAAAAGAGAGAACTAACAGAAATAGAGGTGAGAGGAGTATGAGTCTAGTTAGCAGGAAAGTAGATGTCCTTTTTCAAAACACTTCCTTGTTCTGGAAGGCTGAGTGCTAGATTAGAGCTGCCTCTGTTGTAGATGCCAATTCTGGGTTTATCGTGACATTGGGTGGGTAAGGGCTGAGGAAAATATAAAAAGTAACCCCCTAAAGAAGGTGGTATGTGTGTGTAGCCACTCTCAATCTGATTCTTGCTCTGATACAATTTTTTTTTTTTTTTTTTTTTTTGAGGCAAGGTCTCACTCTGTCACCCAGGCTAGAGTACCAGGGCCCTATCCTAGCTCAGCAACCTCAAACTTTTGGGTTCAAGGGATCCTTCTGGCTCAGCTTCCCTAGTAATTGGGGCTACAGGCATGCACCATCATGCCTGGCCAATTTTTAAAATCGTATTTTCCTGTAGGGATGAGGTCTTGCTCTCTCGTTCAGGCTGCTCTGGCACAATTAACTTACAAACCACAGCAGAAAAAAACTACTGAAGAAACCTATCAGCATGACAGGTCGTGTTCAGTGCACACACCCTCCAAACATTTTCTGCCTACAAAACAATGAGCTGTCCCCCAGATGGCCTCCTAAGACTGGTTCCACAGTTTCTACTTTTCAATGATCCTTCAAGTTTAAGGTGAGCTTTCCGCCCAGGTCGACGCTGCTTCTGTCCAGCCCCAGTGGAACTGGGCCAGATGAAGGATAGTGCATCTGTATTTTTAGCCTTGTCCACCACCAGCTGCGGAGCGGTCATTTGAGTCAGCAACAGGAACATCTGAGTCTGAGGCCACGATGACTCAAATGACCAGCTGAGGTGCCTTTTGTGTCTCCCTGTAGGCTAACATGGAACCCTGGCTTTAAAGCCGAGTTTCTCGACCTCAGCATGGCTGATATTTGGGGCAGGACAATTCCTTATTGTGGGGGCCGCTCCCCACACATAGCACGTTCAGCAGCTTCCTTGGCCTCTGTTGCGGAACATCCTCCACCCCCCAAGTATGACAACCAGAAGGTCTCCAGACATTGCCAAACGTCCCCTCGTGGGATAAAACTGCCACCGGTTGAAAACTATTACTTTGAAGTGTGGTCTCAAAAGAAGATAGGATCTTATGAAAATAAAAATATTATCATATTTTTAGTCAGGCAAAATTCCAACTCTATCAATCTTAAAAAGAGAGAAAAAATCCACCCCTCCCCCTAAAAAAGAAAAACGGAAGCATGCAGAAATGGTTCCTATTTATATATTTTATACAGATCCATATTATTTTTAAATTTGCAGAAAACAGCTTAGTGGTGACAAGCATGGACTTTGAAATCCAACAGCCGGGGTGGGAATCCCATCTGTGCCTCCGAGTATCGTGTGCCCTCAAGCAAGTTACTTTCCCATTCTGTCCACAGTTTCCGTAAGATGGGGATAATAATAGTACTTACTTGGTAGGATTTAGTGAAGATTAAATGTGTTAAAATATGTAAAGCACTTAGAACAGTGCCTGGACATACAGGCGCAGTGTGAATGTAACTGCCGTTTTCTCCTGGGCTATTCATGTTGCCCAGCAGTGGAGAATCAGTGCTGTGTCCCTCCCTCCGCTCATCAACACTCATAATGCCATTTACTGAGCACCTACTTTGTTCAAGGCAATGTTCTGTGTGCTATAGAAGTACGCTGCATACTCCTAATAACAATTTTATGGAGATAATATTCTCGCTGCCATTCACCATTTTCGCTTCCATCCTCTTACACGACGCTGCCCCGGCTGCCTCGACCTGGACCGGGGTTTGGCAAACAGTAGCCCTCGGGCTGAATCCAGCCCAATGCCTTGGATGGTGGCCTGCCAGCCAAGAATGATTTTTACATTTTTAAAAGGTTGAAAATAAAGTTTTTAAAAGAATATTTCATGACATGTGAAAATTACATAAAATTTAAATCTCTGCATCCATGAATAAATTTTTATTAGAACACAGCCAAACTTGGTTACTTACCCATTGTCCGGCTGCTTTTGTGGTTTCACAGTAGAGTTGATTTATAGCAATAGAGATGCTGGTCCCATAAAACTTTAAAAAATTAACGATCTTGCCATTTGCAGAGAAAGTTTGCAGACTCCTGAAAGCAGGAAAGAAAGCAATAGATATAATAGTACCAATATTTCTAAAACTTTCGTTAGGAACGCAAATTCTTGGCCCCATCATAGACCTTTTGAGGGGTGGGGGCCTAAGTGTCCGTCTCTCTTCTGAGTGATTACCTGGGTTGGCCTCAGTAAACCCAACCAACTGGAACCCCCAGATGTATTCAATGGTGTTTACACAACAATTCTCAGAAATCCACTTCACTTACTGACAAAGCCTAGGCCTCAAAGAAGTGAATTGGGGATGTGGCGTGCCAGTTTTTTACATTGCCAGAGATGGTAAACAATGAAATTCATTTTTAGAATGAAGGTCCCATTTGCTTTGGGTTGCATTCTTTTCTGTAAGAGTATTTCTCGCTCTGATTTCCAGAAGCGTCCCCTTCTACTCTTTCCAGGGTTCTGAAAGACAGGACACACCTCGTTTCCATATACGATCACTTGTCCATCTTAACAAGTTTCCTGAGGGGCAGGTTGGGTCTTCTTCTGTTCCAAGAAAAAAAAGGAGGCAGGGATCCAAATGGCTCCCAGATCCTGTTTGTGCTGAGATCCCATTTCCAGTGTCCAGCTGGAGAGGATTCACACTGAAGATTCAAAGCGGCCTCATGGATCCAGCATGCACCCTGGGTTTCTCACTGCTAGAAAGTCCTTTGTAAGTCCATATACCCCTCTCTGCTCTCTAGAGACAGTAGGGAAAAGCCCAGGAGGAAGTGAGGAAGAGCAAAGCCCTACCAAGGACCCACAGCGGGTTGTGCCAGGCGTCCCTGCCCGCATTTCATCCCTTAGAAAGCACACGTCTTGGCTAATGAAGAATATAGACAAAGAATGTTTATGCAAGTAACATACAAATTCTTATAGGACTGCCACTGAAAAATAAGACTCCTAAGAATATATTTTTGTTCTAAAACTTTGACATTTTACACGGGTTGTTAAAGCTCACAGAATACACATACACAAACACGTGCAATTAAACCAGTAAAGCGTGCCCTGTTAAGAGGATCCATAGCAGGGCTACATGGACGTCATCGAGCCCGGAGATAGGGTGCCTCCAACATCCAGCCAGTCCTGTTGGGCCGTCTGAATGTGTTTAAAGACCTTATTTTCACAACTCATTTTGGGGGGAGTTATCCCAAAATATTATATTGTAGGAAAAGTTCATTAGAGAGTAACCGTGATTTAAAGAACAGGTAAAAGGTATGAAAGTGGAGGAAACATAAACAATGATGAAGATGATTTAAAAAAAAAAAAAAAAGAAGGAATAGGTAACAGAAGATTGAAGGGAAGCAAGGACTGAGGTCAGAGGAGATAAGAGGAATACAGAAGTATCTTGAAAAGGGAGGGAAATATTAGCCCTTCATTGGACCTCTATGGTGTGTTGGGAGATAGACAGACAGATCCCCAGTCCTCCCAAAGGTCCTGCAAGATAAGTAACAATGATCTCCATTTTACAGAATGGAGGCCCAGCCGGGTTAAGTTATTTACACAAGAAGTAAGTTCCACACAGCTAGGAAGTATGTGAGCCAGGATTAAAATCTATGCCCACTCTCCCTCCGCCACACACTAGACCTCCATTCAGAGAACAGGTGCAAGTTAAGAGTTATCAAGTACTAAGATACAGAGATTCCAGAAGAGGGGTGTGTGTCACTGGGCCCACCTAGGACAAGAGAAGATAATGCTTTGGAATGTTTTGCAATGAATTGAGTAAAATGATAAAAACAGAGCAGTTAACAAGATTCATTTCAGCTAGAAGCAATGGAATTTGATCCAACAAAGAAAAGGAAGCAACCAGAAAGAGAGGATTTCAAATCAGAAAGAGGCAGAGAGTATATTTTAGAGTTTTAATCATTGAAGTCCTTTTTTTTTTTTTTTTTTTTTTGGCATTCTGTATTCGGGGGCTACAGACTGTAGTGCCAGTGTGTTGTAACGATAAACAGAAACCATATGAACCAAGTTCCATTTTGAACTGATTTTTAAACAATGTCCTACATGCATTTAACTACACTCTTTCACGAGAGGATTTCATGATGTGGTAATGATCTTAAAGACAGGGAAGAGAGGGAACCCGGGCATAGATTAAAATCATAGCCCCAAGTAGGATGGAGAGAAGAGCAATTGCTCCGGTGGAGAGTGAGTCCCCACTGCACATGGGATCTCATTTAATTCCCACATATTTTCATTTTTAAGAGATAAGGAAATTATATGTGCCAACTGTGTCTGCAAATGTGACTGTGTTACAGGGTCTTAGAAATACCTGTGACTCAACTGGGCTCAGTAGCTCACACCTCTAATCCCAGCTCTCTGGGAGGCTGAGGTGGGTGGCTCATTTGAGCTCAGGAGTTCAAGACCGGCCTGAACAAGTGCAAGACCCCATCTCTACTAAAAATAGAAAAACCAACCAGAGGAGGTGGCAGGCATCTGTATCCCAGCTACTCCAGAGGCCAAAGCAAGAGAATTGCTTGAGCCCAAGAGTTTGTGGTTGCTGCAAGCTATGATGCCACGGCACTACTCAGGTCAACAGAATGAGATTCTGTCTCAAATAAAAAGAGAGGGAAATACCTGTGACTCCTATTAGGAATCTATTTACTCATTTATCAAAAGCAAGAAGGGAAACAAAAGAAAGAATAGGAGGGAAGGAGGGAGGGACAGAGAGGGCCCTGCCAGTAGAGGAAGCAGCACCTTTCTCCATCTGGCCATGTCTCCCGCTGGCTGCAGCTTCCTCCACCTTCTAAGCTGTCCTCCTAGCTCCAAGGTCACACAGTACCTCCAGAACCCTCAAGGCCTCAATCCTTCCGCCCACACTGTGTCCTAGTCTTTACTATACCACTCTGAGGAGTACAGAAAATTTGAATAAGCTCTCTCTTAGTTTCAACCCATGGCCCCTGAGGCCCCTCAGGTCAGTAGGTGCCTTATTCCACTTGAGGCATTGCCTGGAGAGGATTTAGCTGACCTGCCATTTCCCCGAGGGCGAGTTTTCTCTCACCACTCCTCAGCCTCTCATGCATGAGCCTCTGCATGCTTCCTACCCTCCGCTCACCTTGACACAACAGAATCTTCCAGTGTGTCACCAAACCTGACCCCTGAGAAGTTTCTGCGGACATCCAGCAATTTGTTACATCAGGATTCGACCTCAAGGTGCTAGAGCCACGTGAGGACTGAACCCCCCTTCAATCCCAACAGGCCACACAGACCCATTCCTTTGTATAAATTGTGTCATCTTCCCTTGTTTTGAAAGAAACGCTCCAACTTAGGTAGAGCAGAAAGGTGGTGCGATGAAAACCAGGTAAAACCCGGTCAGGATGCTGACAAGCCCAGCACTTTAAGGTCGTGGGGAAAAGGTAATATTAACTCAGAAGAGAACTAAAGTGGGGCCTCAACATAAAGTATGGGCTATTTTTATGTTGGTTCAAGTTATTACACGTGTCTTCCGCTCCTTCTCATAGACAGTAATTCTGCCTGGCAGTCATGAGGCAAAAATCCACTGTGCTGTCCTAGTTTAAGAACCTGAAGTCCATGCCTGAGCAAGAGCAGCCACTGCCAGATGCAGTTCCCCTCTCAGCCAGGAAGACACACACAAAAAATAGGTAACTGCAAAACAAAATAATGCATCGTGACACATAGGCACAAATCGCCAGGATGCACTTTGACATATTTAAGGGCCAACAGAAAGATTGCTTATTAAATTCTGGCAACTCCTGCACAGCCTCTGTGAGTTGAACACCCGAGAGACTGGAGCACACTGGTCAACCTACAGAGGTGGTCAACATACGGAACTAGGCCTCCTGTACTGAGACGGACCTGGGGTGCACATCCAGCCGGTGATGATTCCATCCACTGCAAGAGGTGGTCAGTGTAGAGAGGTGGTCAACAGTGGAGGGTCGACTGTGTCACAGTCTTTTCTAATTCTTTTGCTGGTTTAGAACATGTAAGTTCCTTGTGCCGTGAATGCTGTGTCCCACGCAGGGACCTCGTTCTAGGCTGCGCGGCAGTGGCCCTGCCCGAGGCCGGGCTCGGGGACCTCCGCAGCCAGAGCCCTGTCCTGTGTTTCCCCACAGCTGGCCTACATCGGATACCTCATGCTCTTCAACTACATCGTGCTGGTGAAGATGGAGCGATGGCCCTCCACCCAGGAATGGATCGTCATCTCCTATATTTTCACACTGGGAATAGAAAAGATGAGAGAGGTAATTGCTTTTGTAAAAGAAGACATAGGAGAAAGACGGTGGTTAGTTATATTTGTGGGTGGAGGGGATGGGGGAGTCCTGGGATCCAAATTAAGCCAGAAACTATTTTGTTTAACGCCGCCCCAGGGCTGCCGCTGTTCCTCCTTTGACAAACCCCGGGAGGCTTCCCAGTGTGCCGGTTATAGGGTTGTCATCCCCAAAGTGCTTAGGGTTTCTAGCCTATTTTCTGCTGACAGAGCTTTTGCGCTCCCTGCGCCCCAAGAAACCCTTCAGTTGCCTCTGGTGCCATATACGCCTCTCTGTACTCAGGCCTACCAACAAGACTTTCTAAATTTTGCCACGTATAACTCCCATTTCAGCCCCTTACTCTGGGTGTCTTTGGACACAGCGTGCCTGTGAATCTCCAGACTGTTTCAGCAGCTCCAGAAGCAGCTCCACTTTCATTCATTTATTTAATTTATTCTACGTTCATTTTTCCTTCTCCACACTCAGCCACGTACCTGCTGGACGTCAGCCACTCCACCAGCCTTAGGGATCACCAGGGTGAACTGAGCACAGTTCCTGCCATTTAGGTTGAAGGTCCAGGGTCCCTCTTTTCTCCCTTATTCCCTGTGGCCAAAAAGGAGCCATCAGAACGCCACCCCTCGATAATTTAGCGGAAATGGAAGCTAACCTCAGGGGCCCATCACGTTCAGAGCCGCTCAAGTGGATGTGATCAAGCCGAAGTCCACAAGAGGGCGCTGCAGCCCTGCTCAATGCTCTCTGCAAACCTATTTCAGGAGAGAAAACCATCCGGAAGGCAGGCTGGTGCTTTCCTCTGCATTTTCCTCCGAGCTGCAGTCAACAACAGGTCAGGTCCTTTCCAGAGGTGATCCTGGTCAAGTCCACTGCACCTCTGAGAGGGCAGAACAGCCCTCCTTCCTGTGTGTACTACAGTGGGTAGGAAAATACCCCAGGCACCAGAGGAAAGGATTCCTACAAATTCACCTTTGCCTTCATTACTAAGACAGGTTAGACCCTGGAAAGGGTTTCTCAGCTCTGGAATGATTTCCTTCAGAGAAAAGATGCAGGATCTATTTGATGCAATTGTATTAGAATCATAAAAAAAAAAAAATCCTTATTTTTTTCTTTGGGACAGAGTCTCCCTTTATTGAAAAAAAAAATTACCATTTTGAGCCCTCTCTTGAGTTTTTAAACTATTTGGGGAATATTTTTATTCTAACAAGCATCTCCCCATCCTGAGAACTAGCCCACTTCATCAGGAACAGGACTTGTAAAAACATACAGACACGAAGCGTCGTGCCCTGCTCCACTCGCCACTTACCCCGCAGTCTCCCCACTCATGGGGCCTTTTCTTCTTGACCCGTATTGCGGATTTCCCATTTGTAAACTGAAAAACAGTCATAACTTTGTTTTGGTCTTTGTGTAGCTCTCTGAGAACTGAGGCTGCCACTGCTGGGGGCCCCGTGCTATCCGGTGCCAGCTGGCACTCTTGTGATTTAACGCCCAGACGCATATTCCTTCCCCCTGATAAGCAGCAAAGGGAAAGACTCGAGCGGGGAGATTGGAGTCTCTCCAGGGACTAGCCTGGGAGACGACAGGGAGCAGTCTGTACTCCCTGGACTGTTCTGGGGGAGGCTGCCAAGCAGGCGGCCTGCCAGGAGCCTCGAGGCCCGGTATCCATTTCTCCTGAGGCTGCATCTACTAGCAGAGAGGGCAGGGTCAGGAAGGGGTCAGCCCAGGAGTCCTTGCTCCCGAGGTAGCCGTGGGAGTGAAGTGGTGACCACTAGAGTGTCTGACCTTTTCTTCTGGGGCCCAGTGAGGTGGCTCCCTGACCCCTGTGTCCCAGGCCTGAACTCACGGAAGAGATGCTCGACTACCAGGGGGCGAGGACCGCACGGGCTGCGTCACCCGCAGGCCCTCGGGTCAGACGCAAGATCCCGGAAACGTGGGGAAGTCTGCGTGCTTCCGGCCCTCCCAGGGACACACAGGGAGGCCTGTGGTTTCCCTGCTGTCGCCATTCCCAGCTCCACATACTTCTACTTGTAGTCACCAGAGCAAGCAGCAGTAATCCCCTAATAGCATGTGCTGTTTACAGCCTGCGTCAGCAGACGGGACCTCATCTGGATCGCCTCCCGCACCTCTGAGGTCCATGGCGTGCTATGATGACATCCCCACTTTACACATCTGGGAACTAAGACTCAGAGGGATTAAGCAATTTTTCCATATCCCACAGCTAGAAAGGACAGCTAAGCAGGAAACCTGACAGGTCCATTTCTAGATTCTCTGCTCTTTCCGTTACCACCATGGTGCTCCTGGGTGTCCTGGGTTCTAAGACAGGTGTCTAAGGGCTGATTCAGGAGGGGAAGGCTGGCATGTCGGGGGGACTCAACCTTCTCCTGTGCTTCACCCCAAACTGCTCTCCTTGTGTCTCTTTTTGTATCGCTGAGACTTCACAAATTTTTTTTCACTATTTAAAAATTATACCATGGTTAGCAGTTCTAGGAAAGTCTGAGCCAAGGGATAGCAACATTCAGGCATTGTTCATAACCCAAGCCCCATACACACATGCAGATCTTTGCTCAGTTAACATGGAGCTGGGGGTGAGGAACCTTTAGTAGCTGTGCAAGTTGCTGGTGGGTAGGATGGTAGCTCTCAGCCTGTAGCCAGCACAACCTAGGAACATGTTAGAAATGTCAATCCTCCAGCCCACCCTGCTGCTGAAGCAGAGACCCCAGGGTGTCTGCATTGCACCCAGCCCTCAAGGTGACTCTGGCGCACACTAAGATTTAAGAAACCCAGGGTTAGAGCTTAGCATGGAGACATCAAAGGATGAAAACTAAGGCTCCAGTTGGCTCCAGGTACCTTCCTCATGCTTTCAAACCCTAGCCCTGACTTACTAAATCTTACCTTCCTTAGTATTTAGATTAGGGGTCCTCAAACTTTTTAAATAGGGAGCCAGTTCACTGTCCCTCAGACCGTTGGAGGGCCGGACTGTGGGCCCCGGGATGAGTCGGCTGCTAAGCAGGACAGGCAGCAGCGGCAAAAACACCCGGAGGGCTGGATAAATGTCCTAGGTGGGCTGCATGTGGCCTGCGGGCCGTAGTTTGAGGACGCCTGATTTAGATGAAGGTAAAACCATTCTAATGAAATGAGGATTCAAACAAACAACTGCAGACAGACCTTTCCCCATCTGTTCTTGCCTCTCCTTGGAGAGGTCCTGAGTATGGGGAAGGACAGTCATGTTTGAAGAGATGGAACCCCCATGTGCAAACACAAGGGATTTGGGTCGGTGGCCCTGGTATACAGCCTCCCCAAACTGGGGTCCCGACTCTTCATATCCTGTAGTAGACTATGGGGCAGGGTGGGTGCCACTCCTGTTGCCCCATTGTGTATTTCATAGGTCCAAGCATGGCAGCCTCTCCAGGTTTAAGGCAAATTGAGAGTCCCACACAGCAGTTAGGATATGCGAGGACTAGAGCATGGCTGTCAGGTGCAATCTTTATAATAGTCAGTCAGGTGACAGAAATCTATTGAGTGTCTGTGGTATACAAAGAGTTTATAATACAGGGGAGTTTATAATCCAGGAGAGGGAAAGAAGAATGAATGGATGGGCAGACATACATACGCATTCATACATACCTACCTGTACACACACACACAGATATTTTCATACAATGGCAAAAACTTTGAAAAATTAAATGGGGTAGGAACGTATTAGAGATTATCTTGGGAACCTACAGACAACTATACACACAGCTAGGGGCCAAGGGAGGCCTTCCTAAGAAGGAAGGCTATTTGATCAGAGATCTTGAGGGTGAAGAGAAGCCAGATATAAATCTGGAAGAAGATAGTGCCCGACAGAAGGAACAAGTGCAAATAGCCTAAGCATAGAATAAACGTGTTATGCTTAAGAGCAGGTGACTGTGGCTGCAGGGTGGAGAGTGAGGGAGATTATGGTAGGCTGTGAAATGAGGCCAGGGTAAGGGGTTTGGACTCTTTTCCATTTGTATTTTTGGTTTTTTCTTTGTTCATTCATTTTAGAGACAGGGTTTAGCTCTGTCGCCTAGGCTGGAGTGCAGTGGCGCACTCATAGCTCACTGTAGCCTCTGACTCCTGGGCTCCCCCACCCTCCTGAACGAGTCTCCCCCACCCTCCTGAGCACTGGCCTGCAGGTTGTTTTCTATTTGTAATGGAAGTCAACAGAAAATTGAAATATGCAGTTATCATAATTTACTTTAGTTTCTGTTGTTGTTCCCTTGTCTCTCAAGTCTCTCCATTTTTTTTAAATCGAGGTATCATTTACCTGTAACAAAATCTACAACTCCTAAAGGCACAGCTTAATGAGTTTTCATCTGTGCATACAACCGTATAATCACCATCCAGACCATGGCTTAGGTTTTTAAAAATTATTCTGTGGGCTGCCCAGAGAATAGGATGGTCCTGAAACAGAGGCAATAATGACAGTGCGGGGAGACTGCTTAGAATAGGATGGCAGCCGTGGGGTTGGCGAGAAGAGGCTGGTTAGGTTGCATGGAGAAGTGGAGGTGGTACAACTTGTTGATGGCAGAGGATGGGGATGTGAAAGAGAGAGAAATAGATTCTTCCCTACCCAGTACCTCATCAACTCAACATGGTAAGTGGTGCTGTTTACTGGGTAGGGAGGGGGAGGAAGACTTCAGAGAAGATTTGTAGTGTTTTCGGATTCAGTAATGTTATAGCAAATCCCTAGCAGAAGTGTCCATCCTTTTGGCTTCTCTGCACCACATCGGAAGAAGAGTTGTCTCAGGTCACACATTAAATACACAAGTACTAACGAAAGCTGATGAGCAAAAAAAAAAGAGCTTTGTGCATAATTTGCATGGTATCTACCACCACCAATAAGAAAAAAGCCTCCACGTAATTTATATGCAGCCTGTAGGCCATGGGCCATGGACACCCAATCCATGGCCTACGGGCTGCATGTTCTTTTAGAGTCATAGAATTAAAATTATTGCTCATCTCCACTCTGTAACATTTGCATCTGGATTGCCTAAGCTTAGCTCACTTGGACATCCACCGCATGAAAGTATTCAAGTAGACACAGGTAGACAAAGCCAGTGATTTATGCAGCTGGCAAACCAAGCCTCTTCCATGTGGGCTGAAAATACAGACAAAAACCAGACCTAACCCCACTGTCCTTCCTGCCTTGTAGATTCTGATGTCGGAGCCGGGAAAACTGCTACAGAAAGTGAAGGTGTGGCTGCAGGAGTACTGGAACGTCACAGACCTCATTGCCATCCTCCTGTTCTCCGTGGGGATGATCCTCCGGCTCCAAGACCAGCCCTTCAGGAGCGACGGCAGGGTCATCTACTGCGTGAACATCATTTATTGGTACATCCGTCTGCTAGACATCTTTGGCGTGAACAAGTATCTGGGCCCATATGTAATGATGATCGGAAAAATGGTAAGCAGGGTCCTCTGATCCCATGTTTTAAGCTCTCAGGGGAGAAGTGGTGATAATAGGAAGAGAGCAATGATTCATATGGACCTACCATCAAGGTCCAAATGAGTTGCCCCCAGGGGTGTTTTAGTTTGTAAGCTCCTTACGAGTGTTTGGGCATTTGACTACTTCATATACAAAAGTGGGAGATTTAATAATCAGCCACTCATTCATTAACTGAAAAATACGTGCATGTTATCTATTTTGCTTTACTTACTGGACTTGAAGTTGGGTATGTGAGTACAGAGATGTTCTTTGCAGGCGGTTGAAGTTGTGACAAAGAGAGAGACAGAGAGAGAAGCCGTCACCGTGTAAGAATGCCGCGTTAGAGATCTGCACAAAATACATCAGGGGCCTGGAAGAGACAGGGCAGGTCGGGAAAGGCTTCACACAGAGGCTCCATCTCAGCGGGGAGACCAAAGGGGCTCCACTACAAATCTGTAACGGATTTTTAAGATTTTTTAAAGATCCTGTGTTTCTAAAGGAAGTGCTAGAAAAATGCCTCTCCCTACACACAGTAAAGGAAAGCAGTTTATCTGAGCTGCGCTGAGCTGACTTAGGCCAAGTTCAAACTGAACATTGAGTTCTATTGTCCATGATGTGTTTTGTTTTGTTTTTGTGCTATCAGACAATGATGTCTACTAAGAACTAGGTTCCAGAATGGTGCCCTCGCTTATCTAATTCTTTAAAACTTCTCCCTCCCCCTCCCCATATTCTTAGACTTATCTAATTCTTTAAAAGAGAATCCCAAGTGGCAAGCCCATGTGCGTCCCCACAAATGGCTGAGGGCTCGTTCCAGGGCTCCTTGAGCACACGCAGCTTCCAGACTTTTCCCCTAGGACAGCACCAGTGTGGATCCGGGCACATGTCAGTAAGTTGCTTCCTCTCCTGACTCACCAGAGGAAGAAGCAGAGCCTGAAACCAGAACTGGGTACTTTTTTATCAGTTCCCCCAGTTTTCCAAACGTGCCCCCTGCTTCACCTTTATAAGACATATATGAGAAGTGAAATGCATCCATCCTCCCATGGCAGACGCCTTGGACTGAAAAACCTCTTCCCTGATAACCTCACTTTGCTTTCATGGTATGAGCTATTGAAATCCATCAGTCAATTCCTTCTCATTATCGCTGGTTTTATTACATATATCATCGCTAACTCAATATTTATCAAACATCTGCATGTGTATGTGCAATTCTACCGAAATGAATCTTTGATAACCAAGACTCTTCCTACAAAAGCATTGAAAAATTCATGCAAAGCGGGGAAGAATTGGAATTCAAAATGAACAAGCTCTGAAACCTTCAAACTATTTGAGACTTAGTTACTCGTTCCCAAAGTAGCAATGAATAATAAATGCACATCTTGTAGGATTGTTGTAAGGACGAGAAATAATGCATGTTAAAGTGACCGACAGTCTCTGGCTCGTGGTTTAAGTAATTGATAAATTGTATCTGTTATCATTATCTCCATATTATATTTTCTCAAAATGCAATGAAAAAAAGGTAAAATTAGCATAATTATTCTGCTGTATTCCTAACCCCTTTGTACAAAAGGTTGATATTTATAACCCCGGCATTGTTGAGAGAAAATATCTCCAAACTCATTCTAGAGAGGAAAAATTTAAATTCACAAGTTTGAGTTATTTACTCAGAACTGAGCCTCACTTCAATTGGGGATTTTTTGGCTAGGAAAAAAAATGCATGTCTTTTACTCCATAATACTGCCTGTTACATCATCTTCTTTGGACTTTAACAATGAATTTGAGATTGTGGTGAAAATTCCTCTAAAAACAGAAAATCTCAATTTAGAGTCTATGGGTGAGGCTTAGGAGATAGAATTCATGGACCCTCCTCCCAATTTACATATAAAAATGTGTGGATGTATGAATTTTCTGGACAAAGAAGACAAGTTTTCATGAGATTCTCAAATGTATTCTCAAAGGGACCCAGAGAAAGTGACGGACTATAACATTATTGATATTGTAGGCTGGGTAATTCCTTGTTGTAGGGGCTGTTCTGTGCATCATAGAATATTTAGTAGTGTCCCTGGCCTCTGCCCACCAGCTGTCAGTATCATGAATGTCAGTGTGCTTGTACACACATGGTTGTGACAACAGAAAAGTCTCCACACGCTGCCACATGTCCCCTGGGTGTCAAAATCTCCCTTTGTTGAGAACCAAGACATTAGACACTTACATAATCTGATTGGTTGTTTTTTTTTTCTGACTGTTCTCCTACTTTATTTTAATAAGCAAAATCTGAAAAGACCCAACAAACCCAATATATAACTATTTAAAGTCTGGCTGGCATTTCTATACTTAAAATAACTAAAGTCACAGTAAAGCAGCAAGATAATTTTAAAATCCACACCTCACATTTCAATAATGGCATAATTATCCCCAGTTTTGACTAGAATGAAATCTTAGGAAGGACTGAGCCAGAGGGAAGCATTGCATTTTCTCTACCTCTCCGCTTATGAATGACTTCATCTATCAGTGAAGAATAAGTAGGAAACGAGCCTGTTTGGGGGCTTTGCTTTCTCTTTCATGAGGCTTTTAAGACAATGAGTTCAATAATTAAGTCACTGATCCAGAAGGTAGATAAAATATGCCTATAGAATTTATCAGCGAGCCAGATGGACGGCCAGTCTGGAACCTTTACAAAATGTGCCCAGATGTGTTTATACTGAAAGCCTCTCAACACCGGGGAGTCCCTATTCAGAAGTAAACAACCGAGTAACTCACTGCCCTGTAGTCTAGAGGCAGACAGCTGATAAGATTCCCTAGGCCTACAATTTGAAACTAGTACTATGAGTCTTTGCATTGGGTAAGAACCAGTGCACCAAATGCCTCGCGGCGTGGAAAACCTGCCTCTCCACTTCGATTCCAACTGATCCGCAGTTCCAGGATCACGTAAGGAAATCCTGACCCCTTCCCTTCAGATACCACTTCTTAATGGAACTCTCTAAGCTTAGTACTGAGCTCACTGGTATGATGCAGAACAAAATCCACAGTAAGAATCCCCATCCCTTGCTATGTGCTAGATACGTCAGACATGCCATCGTTATTTCACCCCATGAAATAAGTCTTCATAATTGAATAGATGATTGAATAACAGACACAGCAAGGGACAAGGACAACTCGAACGTCTATCTGACTCCACAGCCTGATCTCATCCCAGCTCTAATAAAGATAATGTCGACATTGACTGAGAACGTACCACATTATCACATCTTATCTTATCTTTTTACCTAACAAATGCAATCAGTGAAACCTGGTTTCTTGTACCCTCAATGAATCCCCAACAATACGTTAAAAAAAAAAAAACATGCATTATTATTATTATATCACCATTTTACAAATAAAAAACAAGATTAGGCAACTATCCCAAGGCCACTTAGCTATCTTTCTTTGTCCTTTTTTCATGGTCAGGAAAGTCTTTATTTTATTTTTGTAACTATGTTTACTTTTTTGTGGATTTTTTTCCCACATAGCTATTTCTACTAGTGAAATCAAAATAAAAACCTAGGTGGTTGACTGAGCACACATGCTTAGCCACTGTATGTATTTTCCTTGTAGAATTCAACTGAAAGATATTTACAAAATAGGGCAGACTCTACTCTCTTTTTTTTTTTTTTTTTTGAGACAGAGCCTCAAGCTGGCCCCCTGGGTAGAGTGCTATGGCATCACAGCTCACAGCAACTTCCAACTCCTGGGCTCAAACGAGTCTCCTGCCTCAGCCTCCCAAGTAGCTGGGACCACAGGCACCCGCCACAACACCCGGCTATTTTTTGGTTGAAGCCGTCGTTGTTATTTGGTGGGCCCAGGTTGGATTTTAAACCACCACCTTAGGTGTATATGGCTGGCGCCTTAGCCACTTGAACCACAGGCCCCAAGCCTGCACTCTCTTAATAGTGAATCAACTAGAAAATTAAACTTCAAAAACAGAGGAAGCCAGCCTCAGTTTTCACTAATAATGTGCTGTTTCTATACTCTGTCATATTTTGGTATTTGTAAGTGCTAAGACTTCTTTGAAATATCTGAAGCTGAGAACGTGGGAAGACTGTGTCTTCTCTTTGATTGTTTTGACCCTTTCCATTGATATCACAATCAATCTGGACAAGAATAATCCTGAGAAATTGAATTAGAATGGCTTCTGTATTTGCTGGCTGAGTTTCCTTAGGTCAAAGCAGCTCCTTAATCCCGTGAGTACACACCTTCCTCGCTCCCCCTTTCTTTCAATCAATGCAAATAAACATAATATGAAGGACCCACGTGTGCTTTCTCATTGACAGAACTTTTTATAAATAAATGATGAAAGAATTTTGCAAAATAAAAAAGAGCAAGAGTGAGGGTGAGAAATAGACCCAGGTCTCCTATAAAACTGTTTCGACACAGCTGGCTTGCTCACTTTAAGGGAGTTCTGAGACCACTAAACTGTGGCAGGAATAACTAATTAAATAGCATATAATTTTAAGGACAATTTGAAAATATGAATGAATGTCAAATTTTGAAATACTCCTGTTTAGTTTCAAAGTCACACAGTACTTGTGTGATACATTTTTTTTTTTTTTTCAGTTTTTGGCCAGGGCCAGATTTGAACCCACTACCTCTGGTATATGGGGCCAGCACCCTACTCCTTTGAGCCACAGGCACCGCCCTTGTGGGATGCATTTTGAAGTTGCCCTGAAACTTGATCAATTGGCCTGAAGTATCTCAAAAGTCCGGTGTCCTAGGCCATACAGGAAGGCTGTAATGTTTGAATTCCAATAACAAGAACCATGGACTGTCCTTCCTTAAAATAATATATTAAAGCTAATTTGAATTCTCCATTGTCACTGGTAAAATTAGCATGTCTTCCCTTGTGGATGGACAGCCCTTTGGGAAGTGTGATATCCAGGAGGAAGTCTTTTTGCAGTGGGTGTTTTGATGCCAGATAGAAAACAATCTTCAACTAGCTCAAGCCTTGGAGGGCCATACTGACCAATAGGAAGGCTGATGGAACTGGGCTTAGGGGCAGCCAAAAGCAAAGAACCAACCACTGTCAGCCTGTGTTCTCTGTGTCCCATGTCTGTGCTTCATTTATTCTAATCAGTTTCCGTAGTGGAGAACTGCGTCTCAGACTCTGCATTTACATCATTACAGAGAAGAAAAGAAAATTTCTCTCTCCCAGTTTTAATTACATTTTTTTAAAAAGGCCAAATAGGATGCTAGTTGGCCTGTCTTGTGTCACCTGCCTGCCTCCTATCTCTCCTGCCAAGGGGAGGAAAACCATGATTAACCTAGCCTGGAAAACATACCTACCTTGTGGCCAAAATAGGTAGAAATTGTTTCTTAAAGAGGGAGGTTCTGGCCAAGAAAAATCAATAGCTACTACATCCTCATCTACTTTGAGTGATAAAAGGAAGGTAATTTGGCATGTGAGAAACAGATCTCCAATAACATATATCATGGAGACAAACAAGGAAGAGAGAGGAAGCGGTAGCCTCGTATTAGAGCGCAGCCTGGAGGGTCTTGTAAACATGTTAAGATGAAAATCCATCATTTCAACAGCACCGGCGCAGATCCGGTGCTTATCCCTTATTAGGCTCCACAGGGCTCCCAGGAAAACATCCTCCACAGCCAACAGGAGACCCTGCAGTCTGAGAGACTGGCTGATGGCTGAACATCATGCAATGGGCTCGGGCCATGGGAAAGAGACAGAAAGTGATGGATATTTGATTGTCCCAGCTTTGTTTACCAGCAGTTATTCTCTTGAGCTTTCCAACTTTTCATTAGCCTTTCAGAACTCAGACAGGGAACTTGCAGCATTGCATTCATTCTTGGAACAGTTCAACTATCTTAATTCCAATTTCTCTAAGCATAAAGAGACATAAAGAGGATGCTTGCCTCCCCCAGGAGCAGAGGAAAAGTCCTGGATCCTCAGAGAGACCCAAGTTTCTATTCTGGTGCCTACGCATAGAATAGACTAGATCCCAGAGATAGTAATGAAACGTGAAAAGGCTGCATTGTGCATGCACTTTAAAAAAAAAATGTTTTTTGAGTTATTGATAAGATTCTCACAAGTCTCACCGGACATTAGTTTTAATAGATCAAGTATCCTCTTATCTGCACATAAGTCCCTGTCTAAACATCTCTTATCAGCTGCCTAGAAAATGGACCTCCTCCAAAGGTCTCCATCAACCTCAGCATTCTTAAGAACGCTCAATCATGGGGGTTTCCTTTTGTCTCTCCCTGTCTCCTCTTCCAGATGATAGACATGATGTACTTTGTCATCATCATGCTGGTGGTGCTGATGAGCTTCGGGGTCGCCAGGCAAGCCATCCTTTTTCCCAACGAGGAGCCATCATGGAAACTGGCCAAGAACATCTTCTATATGCCGTATTGGATGATTTATGGGGAGGTGTTTGCAGACCAGATAGACCGTAAGCAAGTTTATGATTCTCATACACCAAAGTCAGGTATTTAAATTCAATTGGGTTGTGTCTTTTTCAAGTTCATTTGTTTGTTCTCAATAAATGGCTCAAGATAGAGGACCGATTCCTAGCTTTCTATCTTGGAGGAAAAAAAAAAAAAACCCCAAACAACAATTACAGAAGGTGAATATACAATTTTAGCAAAGCAGTCCTCGGGTGTTTCTTTAGGTATGTCGTGTTCTGTGATACAAATCGACATCTGGCATGCCAAATTTGATCCGAAAAAAAGAAAAAATGAACCATTTAAAAAGATCTAAAATTTTGTATGATTCCAAGTCCCAGAGCCATGTGTTGAAATTTTCAGTATCAGGAATATATTGTGTCATTATGACCCACCCCTATCCCAGCCCCCAGCCATTAGAAAATAAGTTTCTTGAGTTTGACTTCAGAACAAATAAACAATTCTCAATTTCGCCATCAGAATTCAAGAGTAAGGGCAAACATCTGCATGGTGTTTTTCTTACCCTGGAAACTATTCTCCAACTCCTTTCCCACTGTCTTAAATTATGTGCCATTGAGACTGATAGGAAACCAATATTCACTGCCTGGAAGTATGGAAAGTGCCTTAGGTCACAAACTGAGTCGCTTACTATAAATGCCAGGAAGAAAAAGAATAGTGTCTATATTATGCAGTGATTCCATGTGGGGAGTGAGTGCCAGCAGGCCCCCAATGTTTCATGCTCTAATAGATGCTGATTCTCTGTAATGAAAACTCCTCTTGCATGGAGTTGGAAGATAGTTATATCCTAAGAATCTGTTCCAGGATTTTATTTGGACCAAATGTTAGGACACACCAGGCATTGGGAAATTTGGGGGGAAAGAAAGCATCATTAAAGAAGCATCTTTCAGTGTGGAGGAGTTGAGTCCCAGGAGCAGCGACTCTTTCTCATTTTCCCTGAGGAGTTTATCTCTGGAAATAACATCCCTCCAACATTGTTGAATTAACATTTTTTGGACATTTTTTGCTGATAGGCCAACCATCTGAGCCCTGGACTGTGGGCCCAGATTAGGGTTATATAACCAGGTATATAGCTATGAAGAGCAGGAGGAGAGACTAGTCAGCTCCCCCCCCCCCATCCATCATCCCTGGCAGGCCTGAGACCAGAAAGCCCCAGAAGGACAAAGCACCAAAGGGTGTGAGTCCTCCGAGCCTGGGACGAGGATGTGGACACTGGCAGCAGGACACATCAGCACATCGTTTTTTCTTACATGATGGATTTTGAACAAATACCCTTTCCTTCTCAAAATTTGTTATCTGAGGCAAGCAAGACTCTTTGGAACACCTAATTGGAACAATGTTTCGTGAGACTTAGCCAACTCACTGAGAAAGAATTCTAACTCCATCTCCTGGTTATGATGTCTTTGGTTGACAATGTGCAGCCTTCCCCAGGATAGTTTTCCAAGGACTGGGAAAATCCTGTGGAGACCCTCCTTTCAAACAGTCCCTAAAGGCAGAACAACACATGAAAAGCCTACCTGTAATCACTCTCCACAGAGATTCAATGTGCTGCTTTTCCCAAAGAAATTGTTTTGCAACTGAGTTACATTATTTTGTCTTTTCTAGTTTTCCTTTCTTCCCCCAAATGAGATTAAGCCCCCACGGGTGTTTTAATAATGCAGTGTATTTGGGGACAGGAGAAGGAGGGAGGCGTAGGTGTGTTTTATCAATGGGATTCTGTCTGTCCCTCTACAAGTGGCCATTTATTGATGTTGTACTATGAACCCAGCCTAGTGCAACAAACACCACCATCTGGCTGAACAAGAGAATTTATTATTGTTCCTTTAAAAGAAGGGCTGATTGTAGTTTAGAACTTGAAAACCCCCGGTGATGAAAGAGAGGTGTATTGTATGAGTGAAATATGAAAATAGATTTCCCACATTGTTAATTAGATCTGTGGTGTTCTAAGTGTGTGCGAATAAATTTCTATGCCAAATCCCTGTACATACCCAACCCAGCCTTGGATAGATGCAACCTTCGCGACGCCCTTCCCCCAGCCACTTACCTTCTTGTTGATCTCCAAAATTGGCTGCCACGGTAGCCACTGTTCTAAGCTAAATCAGCCAGTTTTCTGTCTAGAGTGCTAACAAGTATTTGTCCTTTCTCAAATGGGTATAGAAGACTGCCCCGCAAATCTGTCATGCTATTGAGCCAATATCATTGAACATCCCTGCCTGCTAACTGAGTTGATATTCACACTGTGACACTGGCCAGGCCCAGTGTGGACTGGGTGACTGCCCTCCCTGGTCCTTCAGAACTGCCCCTAGAAACCCAAGTGTCCGGCTGTTTGAGAAAGGTACAGATCATTGATGCTGCCCTATGATGTCTTGCCTCTTTACTGTGCCGTGACCAGGTTGGTTTGTGACGCATGTGTTCAAGCTGATCGGATCTCATAACCGCCCGCCCTGCGGCCCTGCATGGGCTCTGCCAGTCCTGTCCTGCGGTGTGGCTCACGTGGTCCTTTCCAAGCGCTGCTGCTTACTCAAACCCTGCCTCAGAGCACCTCATTTCCAGTGTAATGCACGCGCTCCATCTCTGACCCTTTTTGTTCTTTACTTCAAAATTGCCGAACTCATTTCATGTTTGGGAAGATTCGCTCTCTCTTAATTGGGATAGATGGATGTGGGTATACAGTAGGGCACTCGGAGTACCATCCATCTTATACCTCAGAAGGGGGGACAGCTTTCACGTCCTCCCTTCTGGGAGGCGATGTTACCCAGCTGCAGGGTTTAGTTCTGCTTTTCTTCCTGTCGTTGGTCCTAAACACAGAGACCGAAGGATCGATAAGCTCGATAAAGCTTAAGACACTAGAATGAGCCTGGTAAGGTTACTTTCCAAATGTGCTTTCAAAACTAAAATCAAAAGGGGAAAAAAAAAGTGGAATCACTGTGAAATCATAAAATAACTGCCGTGCTTCTCACCTCTAAGCCGTGTTGGACTAGATGATAGTTCAGCCTTAACCTAAATTATCTGTGGAAGCTGAAATATTTGCTTTAGTGTAGGCAATAGAGGTTAGGGATGTGATCGGAAGCAGAAAATAATGAACTGGAGATTGGAGAAAGGGCAGTGATGGTCTGCGCTACCCTGGAAACTTTGCTTACCAGCCACCCCGATGTAATTCCTGAGAATTGAACTTGCTCTTGTTGTCTGGTCAGTTTCTCTTTGGTCTGCCTTTGTGTTTTCAAAGAGCTCAAACTTGTCTTTGCGTGTTTGTTATCGATAATACTAGCTCTCTAAGACCTGACCTATGGGCTGGCATGAAGGGACTCGGGCTCTGGGCTGTTAAACGCATTGCTACCAAACGATATCGTTTGGGGAGGTCTCATTGGGGTGCCCCATGTCATATGGCCTCAGAGAGGTGGCCAGGGTCCCAGGGGAGGTTGAGGGGAAGAAGCCACTGAGAGGAGAAAGTGGCAGAATACATTTCCAGCCCAGCAGCCTCCATACGAAGGCTGAGCACAGCTAAAATTAGATGGCCTTTCACCAGCTTAGAAATCTGCTTCTACGTCCTGTTGTGTGGGGTGCCCAGAAGGGAACCTTTGTTAGCAGAGAAAATGAGGTGTTTCCGGCTTTCTCTAGCCACGGAATGAATGTGACTTTCGTTTATTTACTGGGCATCCATGTGTCGCTTGCTTATGTTCAGATTCTCCGGGCTATACCAAGCAGGAGGAAAATGCATCATGCTCTTGAATGCATTAACTAGGGGTCGAAATTTAGTCCTTCTTGCTGCCTCCCTGAGTATTTTTACAAGTTTAGAGAGTAATGTGAAAGCAGAATGTCCAAAACTTAACTTTCTCCTGTGACAACTTAATATTCTCTAGCTCTTTCAGTCACCCCAAATTAATATCCTATCTACTTAGTGCACGGGGCACTTTTTTTTTCTTATTGCCCAGGGCTTTTCCATCTGAAATGAATAAGTAGTCTGGGCTCGGAGGGGTTTTGTTTTGTTCTTACTTTATTTATTTATAGATGTATCTATTTAGTACAGAAGTTTGTATGGGGAAAAGGAATCCTTGCTCTTCTGAATCCATGTGGTCTCTGTGATATCAACTGGATTTAAAGTGCTGTTTTTGTCAGGAAACTAGGATCATCAATATGCCTGTAAAGCCCAAATCATCTCCTGAATTACTTTGCCGCCTCAAATTAACTGTTCCTCGCTTCAGGTATGGAAATCAGGACAGCTCAAGAAGCCAGTCTCTGAAATCTGCCTGCTTATGGTAAAGCTTAGAACAGCATGACCGGAGAAGATGGCCATTATTATGCGTTTCACTCGTTAGACTCCAGTTCCCAAAACTCGGGCGTGCATCTGTTTAGTATTCTGGACTGACCTTCTCTAATGGATTCAGAGCACACTAATGCCTCACAGCCATAGCATGGGGAGTGTTGTCTGACCAGAGTATTTTGGAAAAGAAAAACTTGAGCTAGTGCCAACTTTGGGGAAAGGGGGAGTCGTTTTGCTGGGTTTTATTTTCACAAATTGCTAAGGAAGCAAGCCAACGGGAAGCGCCATCCCCATTTTTCCATCCCTGAAAGTCAGCTCACATCATAGAGAATACCCACCTGAATTGTTTACCACTGCAAACTGAGGCTTAATGGAGTTGCAAATAACCCAGCTAGCTGCCGCCGGGCCTTTGTGATGATTTAGTACACTGTAGCGATCAACATTTGTTCCACCATGGTGACATGTATTTAGCATCTCTCACGGGCTGGACTCCACTTTGCATTCTAACTTTCCCCATTCAGTAGATATAGAGGAATATGTTGTTCCTACTATGAGTTGGAAACTGAGGCACAGAGATGCACACATCATGCCAATATTTCTAGTATCCAACCTATAGTGATTATCTCTCCTGACTACAGTTAATTGCACTTACCTAGAGTGTACTGTTTCTTGATGAATAATTTTTATCTTACTCAAAACTATTCTAAACATCACCTAGAATAGTATTTA